GGGGGGTATTTATATCTTTCTGCCGGATCAAAAGTTGAAGTGCAAAGATGAGAAACGCTGCTGATTGACTAATATAAAGGCGGCAACTGACCAATCACCGCGCAGTTCGAACGGGAGGGCTGATTTGTGGAACTCGCCGCTGATTGGCTGGGAAGCGGACAAGTGACCAATCAGCAGTTGTAGGGGAGAGTATCCACCACAAAGTGACGAAACGTAGTTGTTTTATCCTGATTAATCGAGGTAAAAAGGAGGAATTTGACCTCAATGAGTTGTGGGAATCGTGGCTAATACGGAGAGTTTCATTTTGAAATTACACAGAGTACAGCAAATATCAACTTTCCTAAATGTTTGTGCTTATCAGAAATCTGTATAGGTATCGGTCTGAACGGAAACGGAAAAGAGAGAACAATAAATCTCTCAACATATCGCTTTAGATTAATTAGGTAACGTTTTATCACTATTTTTACACACTAACTCCGCCACCACAGCAGCGTGATTTTATTCCAGTCTTAATACAGGACTCAGTAACCCCTCTGAAGTTAATAATACTTACTTGATGTACAAGGGAATTATTTCACGAGGATTGTTTACCCATACTGGCCGTTATCTTATCTGATAGGCTATATTTATCAGCATCTTGGTGCACAGTTGCTGTAGGCGTCTACCACCACCACCACCATCAATAGTCTGTTTTACGTGGCTATTGGCAAGACTATCAACCTGTGAACACTGGATTTTCAAGTTGCGAAATGTGTCAGATGCATGGGTAAGTGCCGCGATGTGTGTGATATATGAAACAGTAAACGCGTAGATGTAGTGCATTATGGTGGTGTGTTGACGGATTTGCATTATTGGAACATGCACTGTTGGGATAGTATTTGACCACATGCTGGTTACGCATCTACAAGTACTGTATTATCCACTGAATATAATAATACCGATTTTGGTTGAGGTTCAAGACCAGTTTGTATAACAAGTGCGAACATCAGGTACTGGATAGTGGTGTTACCTGACTTACTGATGGAGGCTTAACAATATTTCAAGATTTCAAGGCGAGTGTGAAAACATAAGGGGTGAAACAGCAGCAAAATTTCGATTTCAAGAGATATACCAACAAATACTATACTCACATTTATGAAAACATTAACATGAGCGAGAGAAGCTGGTCTCATAAACTGTTGAATCTGGCGGGCACTGCAATATTTAGTGAATGTGAGAATATTTTTATTTTTTGGAGTACGGAACGTATGAAAAAGGAAGTGAATATAATATTGTTAATTATCAGCTCATTAGTACATACAGATTACTTTTTTATGCGAAAATCTTAAATTCTGTTAGGATATTCTGTTAAGGTAACCCAACCCATGGTGTCGGGAATTTGGAATAGTGATTTACACATGCACATTGGTGGTAGGGCTACTAGTCCCGTGGTAACACTTACGAGTAATGCGTGAAAATACGTGACTAATCCGCAGCACTAATAAAATGCTACGACTACACTATCAAATACCGGAACAGATTAATTAAGATTAATTAACATTCAGTTAAAATAAATTGAGTAGTTTGTGCACTGTGGATATTCTGGTATAAGTGTTTCAAAAAGGGATTATAAATTTTCACAGTGTCGCTTACCGGTCATGGCGTTCGATGACTTCGACGCTCGCCTCCTTACGTGTTATAATCCGAGACAATTTAAACCATCATAAGGCTGCATTTACACCAAACGAGTCGAGTCGAGTCAAGTTAAGACGTCATGACTCATCTCGAATCGCCATTGCAGTTCACATTAATTTATATGTCGAGTCGAGTTATGTATAAGGCTGGACCCATTTTTTAGTCAGTCACCGCGCGTTATTATGAAGGCTATAATAATAATGAGGAAGCTCAATCTTCTACATTGACTAAATACAGATATTGATTCCACTACAAACTGAGTTTAAATGAGATTCAAAACAGTAAGAAATATGGAGTTATTAAGTGACTTATCAACAGTAATGTCATCGGCGACATGTTATCCTACAGTGTTATCGTGTTGTTATAATGTGTTTTCAGCGCGTTATGGAAATCCAACATCAATAAAAATTTAATTATGATAGACAGAGCTCTGTGTGGTGCAGTATAACTACTGTATATACGTCCCGGCTGAAGTGTGTTATTATTATTATTATCTAAAGATTAGATATATTGTTTAGATTCTAAACAAGAGATCAGGAAATATGTCAGATTATTTTTAGTTGAAAATAAGTTGTGAGGCAAAATCCTCGATCAGTTAAATTTTCATGGCAGACACAACTTATCTAATTCATTATTTTATAGAAGTAAATATCTAGAATAACTTAGATGACAGTGCCATACCCAACCTAACCTTAAGTAAACCAAACCTAAATCACACTAAGAAAACCTGAACTAACTTAACCTAACCTAACCCAAAGCAACCAAACTTAAAAATAAATAAATAAAACACCTAATTTAACTTAACCATTTCCAATATTATAACTAGGAAAAATAGGCTTTATAAACAGTGCTAATTATTGCATTGTACAGAGTCTTACTAATCACCCGAGTTCCTCCTTTTCAAATAGGTGGGACACGTGTGTGCTTAGTGAACACTTGCACTGCACATCTGGCCGTGGATAGCGGTGACTGATATCCCCCAACATCTAGTGAGGTTTTCAGACGTATTCTGACTTTCATATATCGAAGATTTGTGGCAGTGAAACGTGTTTTATAGAAATATTCTGTTGGGGTGAAACTTGATGTGTCGAGCCTTTATTACAGTGAAACATTAGTGCATCAAGTCTTTTTTTTACAGTGAACCTTAGTATATCAAGTCTTTGTTACAGTGAAACTTTAGTATTTCAAAGTTCTATTACTGTAAAGCTTGATGTATCAGTCAGCTCATAAGTACAAGAAAAAAATAAACTGGTATAAAAAAGAAAAAAAAAGCTTTAGTGAATCTAAACCTTGGTCCACCAATTCTTCTCTTTTGTGTATTGTGCTGAACCTTAGTGTACCGAAACTCTGGTGTTTCGAAGCCCTGACTGGTGTACCGAAGCCAAGTGAAGCAAGGTTCCTCACTACCTGAACTTCTACTATGAACGTCTAGTAAGCATGCCTGGAGTACACTAACATTATCCTTTACAATGCTCGCTAGGGTAAGATGACGATCGGGGAGGAAAAAAATGTACATATTAGTAAGGCTGTGAAATGTGTACATAGTGATAGATCTTGATTAAATATTGGCCAAAACACATTTATATTTGCATTAAAACATAAACTTGAGAATTTTCATTAAATGGCAATTATATATGGATAAGAAAATAAAACATTAGAAGCAAAAATATCCATTCTCATAATAATGTCCTAAATATAATAATAATAATAATAATAATAATAATAATAATAATAATAATAATACCCTATGAACAAAACTCCTTAGCTGTTGAGTTTTAAGGCTGCCATCAATTGGTGAGAAATGGCAATATTCTTCTTAGTCACAAACCTCTTATAAGTTAATTATTATATATACTGTACAGTATATCTCGGTTTCAATTTCTGTAGTTAGGTTACAAAAAATAAAATAATGAAAACGAACCTTCATAAAATTTGCCAATAATATACGTAGTATAAATTATGGTACTACATAATAAATATAAATTGAACTTTTAAATTAATAATAATTTTTAAAAATACGCCTCTTGTCTATGAGAGAGGGGCAATACGCACTGGTGGCTCCATCCATACAACCCCATTCCTACTCGTGAAAAAGGCGTGGATTTTTACACATAATAAACTGATTTCTAGATACAGCAGATGACCGCTGGTTCCGGTTAATGACTATTGTGTGCAGGTGAGGTCATTCTGGCAATTATTTTATTAGACAGCGAAAGGTGTTCTTACGTCTTTATTGGGGAGATATTTAACGATCGCACTTCTGAAAATACAGTTACAGTACAATACGGTATATCAAAATAAATTATTCACAAACTTGGAACTACTTTAAAGAAATTGCCTTAAAGTAGATATACATCTATTACATACATCAAGAAAGACTTTAGTATCAAATGTATATGGTAACACAGGTGCTGGCCGTAGCACAGGTGCTGGCCGTAACAAAGGTGCTGGCCGTACACAGGGGTTGGCCGTACACAGGGGTTGGCCGTAGGGTGCTGGCCGTAACAAAGGTGCTGGCCGTAGCACAGGTGCTGGCCGTACACAGGGGGTGACCGTAACACAGTTGCTGGCTCAAACACAGCTGCTGGACACACACACACACACACACACACACACACAAACGAAATAAAATAAAAAACGATAACGTTAATAGAAACATTTTAAAACACACATTAATGATGGTATTTACAGCTTCTCTTATTTATCAGTGTAATCTTAGCAATTTGTTTATTTAATATATTTATATTTTTAATTAAAAAAAAATCATGTTTTGTGTTTAATAAGAAGACAATTCCAGAGAAAAATATAATATATCCCATAGATTTTAGTCATGGTTTACAAACGACATCCAGTATGGAACCCCCCCCAAAATATATATATATATATATATATATATATATATATATATATATATATATATATATATATAAATAAATAAATAAATAAATAAATAAAAATAAAATAAAAACAATTAAATAATAAACACGGATTATTTTTTCAGAGTCGACGGATAAAAAATAAAGTTAGAATTCTCCACAGGAAGCACCAATTACTTACTTTCCCAGGTTGTATATACTGTAAATGACGTCACTGGTGAGGTAGGCGTTAAGTTGGAAAAGAGAGGTGTGTGTAGGGGTGTACAGATCATGGCGAGAAAAATTTTAAAGTACATCAAGTTGTTTTAATTCATCTTTGAAGCGGTGTTAATATGTTATAATATTTTCGCCCCCCCCCAGGCCCTGATGTGGGTCAGTAACCTGTGCCCAGGTGGGCTTATCCCCGTAAAAAAAAAAAAAACCATCTTCACCATCAGCGTCTCCTTCCAGCAGCATGAGATGGGTGTGGCGCGTGTTGGTGCGGTCTAGTTTCCTCCGCTCTGTGTTGGTCTTCTTCTTCTTCTTCTGCTTCGCCTTCCACTTCCTCTGCCTTATCAAGGTTAGTCAAAGAGGCCCAAGAAATGCCAAGTTAGGGGTACTGTCTTTCATTTAAGTTCTGACTTTAGTATAGGGAAGTATTCAAGTCATGTTAGCAGGTCAGTTAAGTTCATGAGGGAGAGAGAGGGAGAGACGTTTGTATGTTTTCTGGCGTCTGTTTGCCTCTCCTAATCGCTCTTACTAACCACGAGAATAACATCATATCTTCGACAAACAGACGACACAATTTGGTCGAGTGGACGAGGGACAGGATTTCTCAAACGTTGTTGGCGTAGAGGAGAGAGCCGTGGAGGGTGAGGATAATGAGCAGCAGCACCAGCAGCACCAGCAGAAGCAGGAGGAACCCTTACATACTCCTGACGACCCCAATCTTGGCCCCCTCGACGTCTGGATACAGGTAAACAACCAATCTTACCCCAGCTCAGAGATAAACATTAACAAGATCTCTCCGTATCACACCTAAACATTAATAAAATATCTTCGTCTCATACTCAGACTCCCACAAATTTTATTGAACCAGTGTGGACTATGTGTAGGGCCATACACATCACAATATTACCATACACACACGCGTACCAACCCTTCAGTAGGAATAATGACTTCAAAGTTAAGTGGGTGTATCATACAATAAATTGAATTAAAAAATCAAATCACTTGTTAAATTTAAACCAACGCTATTATGTGACGTCAACAAGTAATTAGCAGACGTATACAACCAGTTGAATTCTTCCTCCAGGCGAGTAACGATCGGAAGGTGTTCGTATATTCAGCTTACCTGGATCGTAGAGGCAACTTCAATAATATAAGAATCATCACCATCATTTCTAAGAGGACGAAGGTGAGTGATGATGATGATGAGTTAGGGTGATGATCATGATGATGAGTGAGGGTGATGATTTTGATGATGATGAGTGAGGGAGATGATGATGATGATGAGTGAAGGTGATGATAATGAGTGAGGGTGATGATGATGAGTGAGGGTGATGATGATAATGAGTGTAGGTGATGTTAATAAGTGAGGGTGATGATGATGAGTCAGAGTGATGATGATGATGATGGGTGAGGATGGCGATGGTGAGTGAGGGTGATGATGATAATGAGTGAGGGTGATGACGATGAGTGTGGGTGATGCTGTGTAGTGAGTTCTCTTCCTAAATGAAAGAATAAGAATGAATGAAGAGGAGAGAGAAGTTCTAAGTGAAAATGAAGAGGTTGAATGAAGAGAGAGGGGTTGTGAAATCAATGAAAATAAGAGTGTGAAAGATAATGCAACTCTCACTGACAATGAATGAACCCAGGAAGGAAAGTAAATAATTATGAGGAATTGAATGTTGCGATATTGGCGTGTTTTGTATTTTTTTTTCTCTTACGATACTTCAAACTCTAAATCACTATTAGTACGTATCTCCTCTGTCTTGCTTGTGGTCTCTAGTATCTTCTACGTGTGTGTTATTCTCATAGGTTCAGGGATGTGTGGTATGGACGGGCAATACTACAGAGCGAGTGACGGCCAAGACTCAGAAAATCAGGGAAAACTGGAACCTGGCTTATACTGCAGCGTTCGTTCTCTGTCACCTGACGGACACTACCAGCATCCCTACCCGCGTTGCTGTGGTGATGGATGATCAAGTTAAAGAAGCCTCCAGTTTGCCAGTTCAAGACCTCAACGAAAGGGGGCTGATGGGTAACATGAGTGTGTGTATTAAGCCATTCCATTATAATTTCGATAGAGCTGTTTGGTTGGTCGAATTTATAGAGTTCTATCGCCTGCTCGGGGCTGATAAGTTTATTTTCTATAATCACACGACGGGCAGTAATGTAGAAGCTGTTCTAAGACATTACCAGGACTTGGGAGTGGCGACAATTCTTCCGTGGGAGTTGCCAGTTATTACGCAGAAAGAAATAAGGACGGAAGGCATCTTCGCGGCCCTCAACGACTGCAACATGCGCTCCATCAACAGGTTCCCTTTATCGGCTATGGTCGACGTGGACGAGTTCCTTATACCTAGGAAACACAACAACCTCCTTGACCTAGTGAGCACCTACGGCGATAAAGGCAGCACCTTCATCTTTCAAGTGAGTAGAGGTTTATTTTTGACCCATCTTACCGAGACAGACAGGATTCCTCTAACAGTTGTAAACGGTTTTTCTTTTCGCTTATATCCTTCAAGTGAGGAGGACCTTTAGATACAAACGTCTTTCTACTTAGTTCACATCCTTCCAATGAACAATTTCTTACCTTGGTGAATCTTACAAATCAAACTTCGTCTTACTTAAACAAGTTTTCCATCTGTTAACAAGTCATATGTGTGCGTTTTTGTTTCTAGGAGTATGTTCATTAATCATTGCAAGGTCTTTCGGTAAATATTTAGTAGTTGCTAAATCCTAATTGATTTTTGAAAATGGGTTTTTATAGTGTAAATCATCGTGTTAAGTACAAATATGACCTTCAGTGCCATCGGGAATGAGCCTTGTTGAGATATTGAAAAAAGTGGAAGGTAAAAAAATGCAAAACCTGAAAAAGCCGAATCTAACCTCTATTGTGTGTAAGAAACTTGCCTTAAGTAAGAGATACAGGAGGATAGTGTGATGCGACTTGAATGAGGAAATGGTGTGTTCGTCAGGGCCCGTGCATGTCTTACCGCAGTACCCTGCTTGACGATCTACACGGAACTGACAATCTGAATTACATCTCCGTCACTTTACAGATGAAACAAGAAATTTTTGAGCCCTAAAAATGTCAACGGCTGCTGCTTCATTGTCAAAAACGCGCTGAATAACGAGCCAGTCAGTCAAGGTACAGTCACCCAAAAAAGTCCTGTCGCTAACCACGGACCCCGAGATTCAGACTCGTGAACCCGAAGCAGTAGACACTGATACATTATTCTGTCCATAAATGCTTCGGATTCAAGAGTCTGAATCTCGGGGTTCATGGTTAGCGACAGGACTTTTTTGGGTGACTTTACATGCCTCTCACACAGTCGCCATCATTCAACTGCCCGACAATGTGACTTGCACTGATTGGTGCACGAGTATTACATTACACCGGCTCTCACGCTGATTAAGGCACACGACTATGACATCACATCAACACACGTTGATTGGTCGAATATTATAAAAGTTAATATAACTTTTAAACTATAATTTTTAGATGGAAACATTATAGAATACTTTGTTTCTTAATTGTTTTTCTCTGTCTCCCTATATATGACTCAATATTCAGTTAGATGTTGGCAACTACTAAATATTAACCATAAACTTTTGTATAGAATGAAAAAAATATTGAGATATATTGCAGAGGTGATTAGCTTGTAATTTAGTTAGCAAATATATTGCCATTAGGTAACAGTGATACATTTATATATAAGCCCATGGTGATAATTATCGAGCCAAAAAGTCATAGGTATATATGTACTCGTATATCATATTGTTCTATAATATTAAAGATAAAACTCCATTTCATATAGGAGTAAGACATACATTTATATAAAGGGATCTTAAGTTGCCTGATTCATATACAGTCATTTGTGTACTGACTGTACTACCACAAACTTCGAGTAATTGAAAGTACAATAGTTCAGAATAATAATACAATCCTAAAAGTTATAGTGTGTTACATAATAACCGAACCATTTACATAGTACTAATATACCGCGTAACATAGACTACATAAAATCATATCAATTCAGTTATATGCTTACACATTACCACCACCACTACCCAACACAGAACGTATTTTTCTACCTATACTGGGAGAACGACACAGCAGTCCACGATGCTCTCTTTGCCAATGATAATGGTCTCGGATATGATTTCTTCGACGGCGAGGAAGCTTTTCCTTATCTCCTGACGGCCTTCAAGACCCGGAGGCTAAATAAACCACACAAACACGGCCAGAGGTCCAAATTCATCGTGAGGCCGGAGGGCGTGGTGGAGATCGGCAACCACAACGTCTGGGAGTATATTTATGGTGAGCACCAATTTACTTACAAGCGGGCTACGGCCACGGGTCCAATTTCATTTGTAATAACAATACTACTACTACTACTACTAATAATAATAATAATAAAATTAAAAAGATAAATAATAGGTAAAAAAATTAAAATATAATAAATAACAATTACGGTATAATTTTATTAATAAAAATATTAATAAAAAAACTCGTATTAATATAAATCTTAAGACAAATACTTGCATTCATAAAAATATTAATAATAATATTGTAAATTATATTAATAATAATCTCAATATTATTGTTAATATTAATATTAATTTTAATAATTTTATTAATATTATTATTAATAATATAAATAATAATAACAATAATGTTATTATATCAAAACAATTATTATTATTAGTAGTACTGTAGTATCAACGTTTAAATTTAATACCTGGCAGCATGTCGTCATCTGTTTTGCTTACGAGTGTCCTATAGTTTATAGTGGTAAATTTTCGAAAGGCACCGCTTAAGCCATTTTTTATGGGATTATCCCACCAGGGAACAGGTCAATGACCCACGTCAGGGCCTGGGGGTGGAAATATAACAATAACAATAATAATAAATACAAATAATTTTTTTAAATATTAAATAAAAATATGATAATATAATAATAATAATAATCAATGCAATTTTCATATATATATATATATATATATATATATATATATATATATATATATATATATATATATATATATATATATATATATATATATATATATATATATATATATATATATATATATATATAAACTATGAAATCATTGTCTTACAATAACAAAAAATAGAAGCCACATTACTAACAGTGTTAACTAGGGGAGAAGTGAACGTAAGAATATATCCGGAAATCGGAGATTATAATTATTCATAATGTTATTTAAGTACTTCCAAGTCAACAGATAAAAGCCAAGTAACGAAAAAAGTTTAAATGATTTATAAATAAGGAGTCCAGTAGCCTACAGTATCATACTGATCAACCTCTTGACGACAACTTCTTTAGCAAGCTTTCCCTGGAGAACGAAAGCTGTGAACAGGAAGGACATAGGAAGAATAGAGAACGAAAAGGTGAATAATGGGAAAACATCGAGGGTAGGTCTAACAAAAGGTGAGATAAGATGCTGTTGGAGCCCAAGACCCACCAGTGTTGGGGTAGTATTGCCAGCTTCTGTAGATTAGTATGTGAAGACACGAAATTAACCTAACCTAACTTAACTTAGCCTAACCTAACCTAATCTGAGCTAATCTAACCTAAGATAAGCTAACTTAACTTAACCTGACCTAACTATTGTAACCTGATAGAATAATTCGATGACAGGTGATTGCATGATAGACTAATTACTTTGTTAGGTGATTGCATGACTTATTAACTGACCAATAAAACTACATATAGTGACTGCATGAAATTAAATTTACCGCATGACAGAACAGTTGAATTGCATGGTTACAGGAGTTAACAATATCAGTTATGGAATGTAATTGAAAATCAAATAAATCGTTGCATGTTATTAATATTTTCACTTTACAAAATATTTCCCGTTAAAGCAGTCAGAAACATCACGTGCCTAAGTTGAATTAATCACTGTATGTATGTTCAGTTCAAGGTCGTAGATATCATGTGTCTAGATTAAATCGAAGCATGTTAAATCAACTGGATATTTTACGTGACTATAAACTGTGTAATAGCTTAAATGAAGCGTTTATATTACTTGCTTATAATTAGAGTTAATCATAGCAAGTTAAAATAAGCGGGTATACTATTTACCAATAAACAGAGTTAAAAGACACAAGTATTTAACTCAATTAAAGTACCCACAACTTGGTTACCACAGCCAGAAGGAACGTGACTATAAGCTGTAATTTCAAAATCCTTTTTATCGTTCGCATGTTATCAAAAATACAAGTCAAACGCCATAAAAAAGGTTTTACATAGTAAGCTGTAATTTCAAGTTTTCTTATCAACTGGAAATGCCCAGGACTTTGATGTCTGACTCCCAACACCAAGTTGTCCTCTGTGCGAGCTTCCACTAATATCTGGATCCTGTTAATTTCTGTTATGTTGGCTATTTGCTGGGCCTGTCCCCATTCCGCGACGATAAGGCCACCACTCACTGGTCTGCGGACGACCCTTATCACCCCCCTGATTCCTAAGGAGTCCAAAAAACTTCCTTAGGACAAGGAGGCTTAGTTGCTTGCACTAAGGGCATGTGACTGGGTACAGTCTTACGACCTTCGCCTGGTCACAGGTCAGCATCGTCAGGTTCACGTAGTACCTCGGGAGCAGAGATCTTGCCTCGCCGAGGTGCAGTTCTTGGTTCGACTCGAGGCCGCTCACTGCCGCTTATAATGTCTCGTCAGACGCCTAGAACACCATAGCAAAACCCTAACAGGTCTGGGAAGTTCTAGTACGTTCTACCCTGATCGAAGCTTACAATTGGAAGTAAATCATAACATAATGATGCAACACATTCTAAAAAATTCTTACATATGTAATGCATCAATATTCACAAGAAAATCTCCCTAAACTTACCCAAATAACTACTGCTTGGGACAGAAAATAACCAAAACACTTAGTTTACAAACATTACAATACCAAATTATGCCTCGGCATAACAATGTAGTATTTGAGTTAACACACACACACACACGCATACATATATAATGAATCTTGTATATACAGTATATAGATAGGCTGCACTCTCAAAACCTTCCCTGTCAATTCTGGAAATTTATACCAAACTATGTAACAAGACTCCGACCATCTTATACAAATGTCGGATCACCTGAAGATTGGACAACCCAGCTTATATCACCTAATGGTTTAACCTAACCTAAACTAACTCCTCGGGTAGCGTTAGGGTATTTAATCATCATGCGAAATAAGTTGGGAATGTTTATAATCTTCACGTGATCCCAAAGGCCTTAACAACATCCATAAAAGCAAGATGTCACGAGATAACGATTAATACCAGTTCTTCTTCTCTTATGGATATTTTGTCTCGGTTTCTTCCCACAGGAATCAAGAAGGCAATTCTCGTTACACAAGACGTGGGTCTCTCTCATCACTATCGGATCTGTGAGTTTGGGGGCTTCGACTGTCTCCAAGGACCTAACTCAGTAAGTCACGTGGGGACATATTAAGTCAGCCTGATTATTATACAGACTGACTGTATGAAAGTTGTGATCTTACTAGGGTCACAGGCTGGGTGCCATTTTATGAATATAATATTGACCTGGGACCTGTATGTGTTACTAACTTATTAATGAATGTTTATATTCAAAAGTACATCGATGTGTATTCTAATGTGTTTTGAATACTTCAGCTACGATTGCTACTAAGCACTGTTCACTATGTATTACTTTAACCTTTCTTCAACACACATTAAAAGACAACATTAATGTAATTATTGTTTTCCTTGTGGCAGGTGGACCGCGTAACACACAAATGGTTGCAGCCCCTGGTGAAACGCGTCGCCAACGAGTGCACCAAAATATTCCCTTATCTAGGAAGTTGCCCTGTAGCGCCTCCTCTAGGATCCCCCTGGTGACCTCCTCTTCTCCTAGCGAAATGAATAAAGTGCCTTCAACACTAGTCGAACACACTGTGCCTTCAACACTAGTCGAACACACTGTGCCTTCAACACTAGTCCAACACACTGTGCCTTCAACACTAGTCCAACACACTGTGCCTTCAACACTTCCAACACACTGTGCCTTCAACACTAGTCCAACACACTGTGCCTTCAACACTAGTCCAACACACTGTGCCTTCAACACTAGTCCAACACACTGTGCCTTCAACACTACTCCAACACACTGTGCCTTCAACACTAGTCCAACACACTGTGCCTTCAACACTAGTCCAACACACTGTGCCTTCAACACTAGTCCAACACACTGTGCCTTCAACACTAGTCCAACACACTGTGCCTTCAACACTAGTCCAACACACTGTGCCTTCAACACTAGTCCAACACACTGTGCCTTCAACACTAGTCCAACACACTGTGCCTTCAACACTAGTCCAACACACTGTGATTTCCATCGTACATCGAGTAATCTTAATTAAATATATAACCGAGTGAACGGTTGATAATGCCTCTGGGCCAAGTCTTCCCTCTAATCCCGGGTGGGGTATATACTCCTGATGGGGATGTCTGTGCAGCTGTGACTAACCTAAAATAACCTGCCCTATGCTTCCCTTACTTCACCTATCTTAACGTAACTTAACCTACCGTCACCTAATCTTACCTCACCTAACCTAACCTAACCTAATCTACCTAAATAAGCTGTTACATTAAAGTTGGTTTAAACTTCATTTATGGCGTCCTAAGCAACCAACATCCTTACGCTTAAACATATATTGGCTGCTGGCTAATTAATAAAGATTACGACTCACATCAACCACGGAAAATGATTGGTGTTTAGATAAGTCAAAATAATCATATAATTAATTTTGAGATGGATTAATACCTGATGAATTCAGTCTTGTAATTCCACTGATGAATCCATAACTTAATCTAAACACAGATTCATAACAGTATAGATGTTTTGGATTACAACTGATTAAGTTAATATCACAATACTTGTACTACGCTTATTTATTTATGGCTTCAGTTATCATTCTCAGTATAAGGGTGAGGGACGGGAGCCATTTGGTATTTTTTTTTTTGTCGTATAATTCGCCATCTACCACCCTCTCCTATCTATCCCCTAACTCAGCATCACCACCGTTTATACAATACTATCTTATGCTATTTATTCTTATCCATAAATTTGAACAGTGAAATAGAGCGTGTTGAGAAGAATAAATTATCCTCGTTCGCAGAAAACAGAGCGAGGATGAGTCAAATTCAGTTATGTGTTGGTCACTTCTCGAGAGAAATGATTTTAATTTACAAAATCTAAACGTAAAACGAGTCTTACCTGTCCGTATCCTAGAATTGCTCTTTCGTCTTCAGTGCATCATAAAGGACACCGAGCTCTTGTTGCTGGTTTAGTGATTAGGCTGTTTCAACACTCGTAATCAGCCTGATTACGAGTGTTGAAACAACCTTAAAGTTGACTGACCATGGGAACAGGACGTCAACAAACCCTCACAGACACGACAGGAACGGAATCCTCGACGTTTTTCATGATCCTTTTCGTCCCTAAATGGAGATAATATGAGAAAGCATTACACTGGGTCACACACACACCGTTGAGTAAGAGATATCGTCACACTATCATAACTAAGATACGTCCTCTCGTCCCAAGTGACGGAAAATGAGAAAAATACGGATGAACCGGTGTGAGTGAAGGTTCACAAATGAGCTTTATTTTGGTGCTAAACAACACTATTACTCTCACAAAAGGGAAAATTTATAGTAAAAATACAGGATAGAACTGGATATTTTTTTTACCTTGTAGTGGAAGATTTGTAATTTTTTTTTCTGGTGTGTTCCATGTTATTTTCTCGAAGACATTTTAGTTTATTTACTCTATATTGCTCTCCAATTTTTCATATCTGCCTTTAAAACGGGTATAAGGTTTTTTACAGTTCCAACTGTTGAATGAATATTAAAGCCAACTTATTTTTAAACAACATCCCGCTTCCTCTATCAAGGAATAAACAATTGAAATTGAAATTGAATTAAAATCCGATAACACTTAAAGTAATCTCCAGCATTTGTCGACAGCTATACCTCTTCAAAATAAAGGAAAATAAAGTTTCTGGTCTTATTTAATGTTTTAACAGACAAGAACTTTAAGGAAAATACTGACTACTACGTTCAGGGATTATGATCTGATATTGTCTTTTACTTAAGAATTTTCAGCTGCTATGGATGTGTACAGTGTTTAGAAATGTTTAGATGTTATTTTAGGTCCTCCACTGATAGGGAACCTATTGACTGCGGTTCACCTAATACAATTTTCAACAAGAACCGACTGAAATCTTAAGTATTTCAGTTGCTTTTATAATGTACTAACTTGCTTTAATGTATGGTCTTAAAACAGAGATTGTAATGTCAGCTGCAACACCAAACAATCGATTTTAGAATGTTATAAAATATATTTTTGAGGTTATTTTAGTGCGCATCAACCGCTAAAACAAAAGCGAATCACAGCATAAAATACAAATGTAAACAATATATTTATAAACAGCAAAGTGAATATATTTTTCAATACTATAATTTCCAAACTGTTGAATTTTTATATCTGACTTATGACTCGTGTATAATGTACCAAGGGATGACTTGGCTGCCCTAGCCAGTGTGCTGCTACAGATGAGTGCCTTATTTTGATTCCATATCCTATCCATATCCTATCACACAAGAAAAAGGGAAACAATGGAGCACCTTAGCCAAATTACAACTAACCAAACTCCGTCGCTTTAGAAAACTAAACACCAAAACACAGCTACATCTATACGAATCACTCGTCAGACCACACCTTGAATACCCACCAATTCCACTTAACACAATAACTAAAACAAACAAACTCAAGCTGCAAGCAGTCCAAAATACAGCACTAAGAAGAGCAGCAAAACATAGGCCGCCATACAGTCAAAAAATACGAGATATACACATCGAACATAGACACAATTAACATAAGAACACACAAACAAGCAAAAGCGGTATGGGACAAACTACACCGAACACAAACCCTATTTTACAGGAACTATTACAGGCAAACAACAATATATCACACAGCTGGTGGCCAAGAGCCATCAACATTAACACAATCAGCCCGGAACCATTATACGCGAGAGAATAACACCACTCATATAACCGAAAAGATGGGAACTATTCTTCCAGTTCGCACAAGGACCTGGTGGGACCCCCCAATTACAAAATATGAGGACCATCCCTTCAGCAACTCAAGGACCTGAAGGGACCCTCCAACAAACCCTAAAAAAGCACATTCCTTTGGATCGCACTTTAAACCAGCTTTGCTTAGCTTATCTAACCTCCCTTGCCCCTGGAGGACTGAGGGACGACTGTCACAGGTTAAGCCACAAACCAGCCTCCGCAAGGTGGAAAGCCCACCTGCTATCATTCTCCTTCTGTACTTCCCACTTCTTAACTATACCTTGCCCTATATCTCCTTGTTCACCTCAGAGCTACGGCACTCTTATCTCGGTGTTCTGACTGACTGACTGGAACATGCTAACATAGAAGAACAAGACCCACTTTACACATATATGTGAACAAATAACACCACCATCTAACAAACATAAATTAACACCCATTACACTACTGAATGCCTAGCTAGCTTAGCTTCCCCCCCCCCCCTCCACCTGCCTCACTTGAGCGGGCAGGCGTCTGCTGTGGGTGGCCACAACCCCAACAATCAACTCGTCTCAGCTAGTGGACAGCCCACCTGCTATCACCCCCTACTACTCTACTTCCCGTTTCTATGCTATCCTTCTCTCTCCTCTCCTCTCCCAGGGCAAAGTCATTTGCCACTTTACTTCATTATCATCATCATCATCGGAAGAGGAAAAGTGGCAGAAATCACTTAGAACAAATTGCAAGTCCCATTAACAAGAATACTTGGAACCAACGAAGGTTTCAAAGTAATCTGCAAAGATGACTTTGATTCAGACAAAATCCTCCCAAAAGAAGCCAGAGATGATTTTACAATGAAGGACTTGTTGTTGTCATGCACCAAGAACAAAAAGCAAAAAGATCAGTTTTTGTAAAAAGTATATGCAGCACTATATAAATAAACCAATACTAATACAAAGGTCTGACGACCCAAGGGAGCAAAACAAAGATAAAACACCAATAGGAAAGATGAAGCGATCTGGTTGAGCCCAGATTCTTTCTACTCCTACTGTATTTCAGTTTCACCACTTTTCTTCAATCCTTAATAATCTCCTTTCACGTCATAACTAACTCATGACTCCAAAACCAAAGAAGGTGATTCTACTCAACGCTCTCAAACAGACAAGACCTCCTTTCAACAAGCTCCTCACCACACAGCAACTCTCTAGCACTTTTCGCCTGGGGGGGCGAAAAGATAAAGTAAAAAGTAATTAAAAATAGAACAGAAAAAGACTTTATTAATCTACACCATGAAGATGCCGGAAAGCCAGCTTTTTGAAGTGAGACAGATTGTATGAGTATGAAAACACAGAAGAAGGCAGAGTATTCCACAGTTTAGGCTGTGTGAGGAAAGAAGGATGTACTATAACGGGTTATTCTAGTGTGACCGTCATCCACAAAGGAACGGTGGGCACCGCGGGCAAGACGAGTGTTACGAGCCCACGGCCTTGCCGGCGGTACACAGGATGCCAAATTCACCAAGCATTGCCTGTTAAAGTACCTGTAAAAGAGAGAGTGAAGCAACACTGAGGCAAAGAGAAAGGGAAGAAAGATTATCAACTAAAGGAGGAGAGTTAATAGGACGAAATGCCTTTGATTCCACTCTTTCTAACAGTTGGATTGAAGAGCCACCCCAGATGTGAGAGCAGTACTCCAGGTTAGGACGAATGAATCCCTTATATACTTGAAGCAACTGCTCAGGAGTGAAATAGCTACAGCATCTGTACAGCATTCCCAGCTTTCGGGAGGCAGCTTCAGCAATGTTGAGGATGTGTGGCTTCCACGACATATTAGAGGAAATGATGAGGCCTAGCATATCTATTTTAGAATTTGACAAAATGAACGCGTCCTGTAATGTGATTGGTGGGAGATATTCTATTTTGGAAAGTGTTATTGGTAAATACTGTGTTTTTTTACTATTGAATTTAACCAAGCTTCTACCTCCCATTAGATGCTGAACAGATACGCATTAATAGAGGTAATGAACACAACTACCATACTTCTCCAACACAACTACTCTACTTCTCCAACACAACTACTCTACTTCTCCAACATAACTACCATACTTCTCCAACACAACTACCATACTTCTCCAACACAACTACCATACCTCTCCAACACAACTACCAAACTTCTCCAACACAACTACCATACTTCTCCAACACAACTACCATACTTCTCCAACACAACTACTCTACTTCTCCAACACAACTACTCTACTTCTCCAACACAACTACCATACCTCTCCAACACAACTACCATACTTCTCCAACACAACTACTATACTTTTCAATTATATAAATGAAATATGACAGTAAGTGGATGGTACAAGAATTGAAACAAATCTTTAAATATATCTGCATCGTTTTATTCACTAATACAGAAGGTCTAACTAGAAATATTTATCAATCACCACTAATGGGTTTAGGAGAGACTATTTCACATGATGACTAAACACCCTAACGCTACCTGGGGGGTTAGGTTAGGTTAGGTTAGGTTAGGTTAGATTAGGTTAAGTTTGCATTTGGGTTTTTAAATCATCAAGTGAAATAATCTGAAGGTCTTCCATCCTTGCTAGATTCTAGATTATTTAATTACTACGATGCAAATTAATTTCACTCTCATAATACAGCAAAACCCTCAATTTATTAGACTATATGGAGAGGAAACTCCGTTATATCGAAGTTCTGTTATATGTAAAACCCTCCATCTAACGAACTACAGTATATAAAGATGAAAGTCCGTTATATCGAAGTTCTGTTATATGTAAAACCCTCCATCTAACGAACTACAGTATATAAAGATGAAAGTCCGTTTTATCGAAGTTCTGTTATATGTAAAACCCTCCATCTAACGAACTACAGTATATAAAGATGAAAGTCCGTTTATATCGAAGTTCTGTTATATGTAAAACCCTCCATCTAACGAACTACAGTATATAAAGATGAAAGTCCGTTATATCGAAGTTCTGTTATATGTAAAACCCTCCATCTAACGAACTACAGTATATAAAGATGAAAGTCCGTTATATCGAAGTTCTGTTATATGTAAAACCCTCCATCTAACGAACTACAGTATATAAAGATGAAAGTCCGTTATATCGAAGTTCTGTTATATGTAAAACCCTCCATCTAACGAACTACAGTATATAAAGATGAAAGTCCGTTTTATCGAAGTTCTGTTATATGTAAAACCCTCCACCTAAGAAATTACATGGAGAGAAATCCGTTATATGGAGGGTTCACTGCATGTAAATATTCAATAACATGACTGGTAGTAATTGAGGAACTCTCTACTTTACCCTATAAAGGTGTTCCGCCACTTTCTTCAATCAGGTTATGATAGTATGTGACAGGAACTTCATTTAGGTACAAATTTCTTATTTAACATCTGTGGAGTTTCAACACATTGGTTGGTAAGACAATGAGACACTGATATGCCTGAGGGTATTACCCCCAGGTAGAGTATCTCAAGTGTGTTCTTAAGAGATAAAAATCTCTTTATCCATGTTAGTATGTGACTGTTCTTTCATTTGATCTTATATCTCGGTGACTCATCAAATAGGCCACAGTTCAAATAGACGCCAGTCGAGGCTAACCATTTATGCTGGGTCCCACTACTAATGGGTCCCGGTTCTAATGGATTAAGATCGATTAAGGTCTATTTGGACTTTGGCCTATTTAGCATGTCACCAAATATCCAACTTTACCTACGCAGTACTAAGCCTGTAGGTCACCAGGTTCAAGGCGAAGGTAGTAAAGGTGACACTATAACCTTGCCTGGGTTAGTAGTTAGAACGAGTGCAGTCTACTTTAGTTACTTCCTCATGCTATTAAACACGAGAAGTACACACCTACCTTATCTATACAATATAATATACATACAGTAGTAGACGTTGATATTAAACATGTAAATAATATGTTCACTTACAGTTGAACTATACGTACAGTACAGTACACCTATACAGTCTTTACTTCAAAAACTTATTTTTACTCTTGCAAACTTTCTCCTATATTGGCATAGTTGTTGGATCTTACTGTTTATCATCTTGTTCATACCTACACATCTCAGCTGCACTCTCCAGCATTGCACTCTCAACTCCAATTCTTCATCTTACAATAATCCATTTTCTCTCTATAACAAAAATAACAACTATATTCTAAAGAAAAAATAGAACTCCTATTTTCTTATTATAAAGGAATACAGAGAATGGGAAGTTAGATTTGACTAATCAACCCGCACAGAGAGGAATACAGGATAAAGCTGATAATATAGACTGTACTGGCGTGGATATGTGATGTGTAGGCATGGATATTACAATACTATATAGATATGGGCTATGTACAGTACGTCTGGGAAAAGGTTACCTAGTTGTAGCCGTAAGATATACAAGCAGGGACATCGAGGATGCAGGCAGAGGATGAGGATATGATTGTGTGGTGGCGTCCAGATGGGTCCTCAGTATTTGTAGGTCTCCTCAAAGCGCTTTTCAGTGTGGTCCTTGGCTGTAATGGGGTTGTAGGTAGAGGAGCCGTCAAGGGCCTTGATCAACACGGGGTCATCAGGGTGCACGAAGAACACTACCGACCTTCTCGCTGACTTCTGGTGCATCTCCTCCTTCGGGATAAGAACACGGTGCTCCTAAAGGCGAGAGAAAAATTGTAGCTAGTCAGAACACAACATTTTGATCCGTGAAGGGAATAGTGATTGTTTTCTCTTTATTATGATAAGCAAAAGGGGAAGGGCCGCCCCATAAGCAGAGTGTGGTCCTGCAGTGGACATTTATGTCAGCTTAAGTCATCAGCTTCGTGGGTCTAGCACTATGTACTGTAACAGAGGCAGGTTGGGATACTGTACAGGCATTATTGGTTTATGATATAAAATTATTGTTCCTGGTCAGTGCATGAATAAAACTTATATAAAAAAATACTGGAAGCTTTGCCCTATTATGAAAAGATAAATGTCTTCTATACCCAATACGGAATAGAGGATGACATACCGTGGCACGCAACTTGTCTGAGGTCCAGAACTGAAGGATGTCGCCCACGTTGACCAGTATAGTGCCTGGCACAGGGTCGGCACTCACCCACGCACCCTCACGATCACGCACCTGCCGACACCCAAACTTTGAGTCTTAAGTCACCAAATCAGGTGTACAGTGTTTATGACTTTACTCTGAACTATAATATATTCCAAGTGAAGACACATTACAGACACATAGCTCGTAAGGGTAACATGAAATAAACAATATATGGCCTTAAACTTGTAATAGGAAGAACACGGGGTAGAGAGCAGGTGGAAGTGCTTGACTGTTTCAGGCAGCTGAGCTAGACACAGTAAAATAACGACGCTCACACCTGTGATTATAATGGGTGTTCGTTTCTTTAAAAATGGCTGAACTAAAATTAATACTAACCCTAAGACTGATTGCGAGAAACAGAGCTTTACTGTTGTGATTCAAAACAAATCAAAACAAAACAAGCATCAGGTAACTTGATAAGAAAATGGTCTCAATCCTTGATCATGCACAGAAATCCTGACCCTTTCTATCACGTCCGGAAAAGACATAACTAGTACTGCAAATTACTGAAAAAAAATCCTACACACCTCAAGGCCGCCAATGTTGTCCTGGAAGAGGAGAGTGATAGTGCCATAGTCGGTGTGTGCACCACAGCGGGTTGCACCCACACTGAAGGTGGGCGGAACAGGCGGATAGTACAGTAGACGGAGGCAGGTGGCGTTGCTGTTGCTGCACATCTCTTGGTGCGTTGACACAAAAAATGACCGTTCCAGACCTGCCCCACACCAGAGAGTGGAATTGTAAGTGCCTTAGTAGTTCTCATGATACCTAAAAAAATATAAGTAACCTCGGAACCAGACCAAAATTTTCATACTAAAACCGAATATTTGGTTACGTTAAGATGGTACTTTGTTTCATAAGAGTAACTTAAGTCAGGTTTTGTTTTGTTATCTTTAATAAGGTTTCACGTTTGGTACCGGGAATTAGAGAATCCTAAGACTTCATGGTTATGGTGTGTAGTCCGTTGGAGAGACTACAGTGTGAAGGGGGGGGGGGACTCACCTAGACCGACGGCAAGGGCTGTGAGGACGCGTAAAGAGAGGAGCTTACAGGAGGTGACCAGGTCCCTCACGGCAGGTCGCAGGCTGCCTACCTCCTTGTCTGGGAACACTCCGTCCACAAGTCGCACGTCGTAACTTTCACGCAGCTCCCGCACGTCATCTTTAGTAGTCAACCTGAAGCACGCGGTCAACAGCTTATTATAGTACAGAAGCGATGCAATCCAAGACAGGTGCTAATTTAACATAACAACGGGGGTATTGGTGGGTGAGGTACAACTGATCAAATCTAAGACAGGCAGTAAACTGACACAATAATAGTGGGATACAATCATCGGTACTTCAACAAATTTACGTTCAGTACAAATTTTGAATGTGTTGAGTCAGTCCCAAAGTCTGTAAGGGGCTGACTATTGCACCTCATGGGACGAATGTGAAAGTGTATTGTTGTGTACAAATACACTGTGAATTAAATATTGTACTGAAGATGGAAGAATAGGTTACTAAAAGACCATCATATATCTTGTAGCACAGACCGACCGACACACACAGGTAAGGGACTCACTTCTCCTGGCCAGGCTCGGTGTAGCCCTGTATATCAGCCACCCCACGTTTGTACTTGAGCTTCGTGGACGACTCCAGCATGAAGAACTTCTCCGAGCAACTGTTGATCTCCTCTACCTGTAAGATTAAAGGTCATTTCACTTATTACTGTACACGGTGTTTCAGAAAAATATATACTGTACTTATACACACTGCCCTTGAGAGTGTCCTCGCCTGTTGATGTAAGAGGTCTCCCACACTTGAGGACGATGTTACTGTTGTAATCTGTGCCTTTACGTTATGCGATCTCCATGAAAAACTGTAAGGCAGTGTGTAAATTTTGAGAGACCCTGTACAGTACATCAACATTGATTGGTGTTAAACCTGTTGCTTATGGCCGGGGTTAATGACTTTGTGGAGGTTAATAACCTTGAGGAGTTAATGACCTTGTGGGGAGGGCTACTGGCCTTGTGGGTGGAGTTATTGACCTTGTAGGTGGGGCTAGGGGCTATTGACATTGTGGGTGGAGTTATTGATCTTGTAGGTGGGGTTACTGACCTCATGGGCGGGGCTACAGACCTTGTCGGTGGGGTTACTGACATTGTGGGCGGGGCTACTGACCTTGTGTGTGGCGCTACTGACCTTGTGGGCGGGGATACTGACCTTGTGGGCGGGGCTACTGACCTTGTGGATGGGGCTACTGACCTTGTGGGCGGGGCTACTGACCTTGTGGGCGGGGATGCCATGGTTGCTCAGGTAGACGAAGCCGATGCTACTGAAGGCTTGGACCAGCTCCTCCCCCAGCCGCTGCAGCACCTCATCACTAGGGTCCTCGGGGCCTCCCACACCTGCAGGAAGACACATCTGTTACATATATGTTATTGAAAACACTTAAAAGCTGCACCATCATCAATATCAATATGCCAATTCCACCACCATAACTACCACAACTATCACCTGCGCTAACACCACCACAGCTATCGACAGCATCGACACAAGCACTTCCACCACCACCAACAACAGTAGCATCACCAACACCTTCGCTATTATCACCAACATCAACACAACAATCACCATCATCACCATCACCACCACCATAAACATCACCACCCTCAGTAGGTCGCGTGGTATAGCTACCTTAATCCTAGGCTGGTAGCGTGATGGTAGGACGGACCACACACTGTCACAGGCCACACCTCACACCCACATCACAACAGTATCCACGCATGAAAATACAGGAAAAATCTAAACAGCTGTAGCATTAGGATAAGTTGGTAGAATTCCACCAGGTCACATAAACACTTGTGCACTGTAGTCGTTTTTAATAAACACTGATTCTTCACAACACTGTTCACAGGGTATGTCTTTACGACTTGACTTCTCACTTCGAATATACAGTAAACAGTCAGTACACTACCAGTAGACAATTTCTTGGTCCTTCCGCTTTATATCGCTCACAAAAATTCCACAACACTTCAATACTTATACAACAATTATCTTCAGCTGTCACTAGGCTTGTACTTCACAGTGAGAAGTACAAGCCTAGTTTACACTTAAGAACATAAGAACATAGGAATGGAGGAAACTGCAGCGGGCCTATTGGCCCATACTGGGCAGTTCCATTTACACCCAACCCCTATTGCTCATATGAGCATCCAACCTATGTTTGAAGCTATCCAGCATATTCGAGTCAATGATGATATTTGGTAACCTGTTCCACTCATCCACTACTCTATTTCCAAACCAATGTTTACCTATTTCGCGTCTAAATCTAAGTTTGTCTAATTTAAAACCATTTTTATGAGTTCGCTCCTGGTTGGATACTTAAAGTACCTTTGTAATGTCCCCTTTGTTCAGCCCTGACTTCCATTTATACACCTCTATCATATCGCCCCTCACTCTACGTCTCTCGAGGGAGTACAAATTAAGATGCTTTAACCTGTCTCTGTACTCAAGGTTCCTAATGCCCGGGATTAGCCTTGTCATTCTCCTCTGAATTCTTTACAAGGATTCTATATCCATTCTGTAATAAGGTGACCAGAATTGAACTGTGTAATCCAAGTGAAGTCTCACAAGCGCAAGATATAGTTTTAGGATGACCTCGCTAGTCTTGTAACTAACACTTCTCCTAGGTAGCTCGCCTGCTGCTTACATACATCTCCTCAGAGGCCGAGAGCATTCCAGTGTCCTCCAAGCATTGCAGGTCGGAACAAGACACACCTGGAGACTTCTAGAATTACTTATTGTTTATTCCACCTTAAAATAATAACATAGTAAAGCTAACCTAGCCTCCCCTAACCTAACATAACTGAACCATATCTAATATTACCCCCAGGTAACGTTTGTATGTTTAATGACCGGGTGGAATAAGCCGGGTGCCTAGTTTTAAGGTTTTTCTTCTTTCTGTGTCAAGGAGACCGTCTGTATATAAATTATTCCAAACACTTCTCTGGGCATGGCGACGGTGTGGCTAGCCTGTGTTACCACTGCCTTGACTCGTTACTGTAGTCATCCTCTCTCGCTAAGTAAAACGGATGCATCGCCGATGACGAGTTACGAAATCACTTCAACCGATCCACAGGAGTAAGGCGCGATTAAGGAACGACCCGGGCTAGCGGACCCTCACAAACAGGTTTCTAGAGCTGTTACTGAATAAAAACTTGTTCACTCGTCTACCACCTAACGTACTAATACTGCATAATATGCTGTGGTCATCTCTGCCTGGACAGAATCCCGCCATAGATAATCCTGCGTGACAATATCTCTGGGCAAAATCGTAGTGCAGAAAATGGTACCTTTCATTTTCCCACCACCGCAGTTTAATTAATCCTGCCAGACAATCAGAGAATCAATCTACCATCACAACTTACTTTACGCCCTAAATTCCACGTATATATTTTATTCTTTACAACTCAATAATGTGAGTTTATACAGTAAGTTTAGGATACAACTGTCTAGTTTTGCGTTTTCTGTTTACTGAGCTTGTCTTGAGCCTCTGAACACGCCTTTACCTTTCGAAACTAGACTAACTTCACACCTATTTAAGTGTTGATAAGCTAGACTTACTAATAACCCAAGAATGAGTCAAAGTTTGAGTTTGTCTTATATTTGTAACTAATGACCCTTAATCCTGTAAATTTCATAAAAAAAAACATCTATTAGTCTGTCAATAATCTAAAAAATTAATAACCTGATACCAGAAACTAAATCCCGCCATGGATAAATGTTGTTAAAAGGGACGCTGAATATAAATAATATTATACACACAAACAAAACAAGTATAGAAATACTGTGGTAAGACTTGTTACAACACTCTAGAAATATAAAACAAAATAAAGAGGATTGGGGGTGGAAGGTCGTGGTCGCCAACCCTCTGACAGAATTAAAAAGGCAACCCTAAAAAATCTTCATTTCGTTTATACTTTATTTCCGTCGTTTATATTCCCACATCATTATATCTTAATATTAACTCAGTTAATGTCTTTCATATACAATCAACTACAAAGTGGCACTCATTAATCTTTTGAGATAATTTAAATGATATACATCTGAAGATTAGACACCCTAGCTTACGTTACAATTGTCATTCCTGTTATATTGCGTCGTGGTGGAGTAGTGTGTGTGTGTGTGTGTGTGTGTGTGTGTGTGTGATGCACTAAATTATTATGAGATAAGTCCCGGGTTCGTGCTTAGCGTTGTGTGGTGTGTATCCCGGAGTTGATATGGTTGAGGGGAAGAGCTAAGAGGAAGAACTCAAAATACACAAACAAATAAGATTAAATAGAGAGAGAGAGAGAGAGAGAAAACACAGTTTCACCAAGCTACTATACATACGCTCGTGACCGGAGGCAATACAGTACTGGAGGTTCCTGTCAGGCTTTACATACAACGGCCTTTCACCACGGCACCATATATGCTGTGTTAAATAAGCGTGGACAACAGGTGGGAAGGTCAGTGAGAAGGAAAGAGGGAGGGAGGGAGCACGATAGAGAGTGTGGGAGGGAGGGAGGGGATGATGGAGGGAGATAGATATTGTGGGAGGGAGGGAATGATGGAGGGAGATAGATAGTGTGGGAGGGTGGGAGGAATGATGGAGGGAGATATGGTGTGGGAGGGAGGGAGGGAGGGAGGGAGGCAGGGAGGGGATGATGGAGGGAGATAGATAGTGTGGGAGGGAGGGAGGGAGGGGATGATGGAGGGAGATAGATAGTGTGGGACGGAGGGAGGGAAGGTGGGGACGAGGATGAGTGAGAAGGATGGAGGGAGATAGTGTAAGAGGGCGGACGGGTATTGAGAGTATTGACGAGGTTTTGCGAAGAGGCAGGCTGGAGATGGTTTGGTTATATGGAGAAGACCACCTGAGTCACGAGGTACATGAGCATAAACCTGGAGGGCGGGAGAGCCAACAATAACATGGGTAGAGGTTGTAAGACATGATATCAGTTGAGCACCTGACAAGAGAGACTATATAACACACACGTGGAAAGTGGCTATAAAACGTTGATGGTGATTATAATGAATATTTTATAGGTTATAATTAAGGAACTAGAAATTTCTCTGATAAACCAACCATTAATTCAGAAATACGAGAGAGAGAGAGAGAGAGAGAGAGAGAGAGAGAGACTCACCTAACTCCCCCAGATCCACGACTGGGATATTGGTAGTCGACCTCTGTTGTTTATGGTCCTTCATCTTACAGTACTTGTCTCCCAACAGTGTGTACACAATGTAAAGTGTCTCTTCTTTTTAATGAGAGGTTATGGGTCCTCTTCCAGAGTTCTTATGAAGTTCTCCGAAATTCTATGAAGCTTCCAACGTTTTAAGGGTGTTCTTGGATTACCCTAACAAACTGTAAATTTTAAGAAAACAGTTTCAATACATGATATCGGAAATAGGTTATTTTTTATACCCAAGATAACTTAATTAGTCTAATCACTCCTTTCGATACGACAGCGTGTTTCCGTGAGTTGGGATACCCATGATTCAGGAATAAAACAGTCACACGAATATTAAACCGTGAGTTTTAGTATAGGCCTTGACAGTCCTCGCGAGTCATGGCCTCAAGAATCAGACAGACACTGCCTTCATATTGCAACAGTTTACGTATATACAGTACAACTTTCCTTTTACGAAGATCAACAAGATTCAACACCATGTCATTTATGCACTAAGATTTATTTATAAAGGAAAAGTTTTAAATAAAACGTTTACAAAAATAGTCAAAGTTCTGCACAAAATATAAAAAAGTTTGTATAGTTATTTTCATATAAAATTTAATAAAAAAAAGACAAACAGCTTAAGAAAACGAAAAATCAATTATTACCCCAGTAAACAGCACACCACGACTGCCTGAAGACTCACAGTGGTACAACACTTCTCACTCGTGATATCTGAACCAGACTGACCAATGTCCACGGTCTACCACTTGCTACTGCTTCCTCCAGCTGTCTTCACGCCAGGTCCATGTGACAACAGAATAGCTTTCCTCGATTTTTACTTCCCGTCGCTTATCCTCTTTAATAACCAATCGAAATTCCTAACCAAAGTAAAGTGGGGGACACAATGAAATGCTTTTTAATCAATGATGTGATGTAAATACGCTAAATGAGGCGTAAAGAAATAGATAAATAAATGGTCATCGGAAACATTTAACACTATGATGCCGCCGGGTTGGAGCGAGTAGCCGGCGCTTGGCAAGGTTGTGCTTCAGGCGTCTAGTGGTTCTCTTATCTTTCACACTTTCAGATTATCATGGTATCTTGTTACACGTTTAATCAAGAACCATGATTCACACTTCCAGTATCCGTCTATTTTTGTTGCTGCTGTTAATATGTTGATGTATTTCTCGTACATCAACAAATATTGTAAGGTCTGTAAGCAAGTACACACACAGCCACAGCTTACACTTGACGACAAGCAATTAACTAAACAAAGCCTCTTTCGTGTTCTATCGGACTCTTGTTTTTCATTCTCAGGGACAATTTAATGTGGAAAATGTAAACTTCTAAGGCTAAGGAATGGAACATCTAATACGAAACAACCTTGTAAAGGATTGCCAACACGGTTTTATACCGGGACGCTCCTGCTTAACACAACTGCTCAAGGTATTGGATATTTGGACCCATATTCTGGAACGGGTTGGTAATATCGACAATATTTACCTGGATTTTGCCAAGGCTTTCGACAGTGTACCCCATGAAAGGCTGAAAATCAAACTGGAAGGGTACGGAATTCGAGGAAATGTCCTAGCGTGGATAGAAGACTTTCTACATGACCACAAGCAGTGTGTGGTGATTAATGACACGAAATCGTCATCAGTACCTGTCACAAGTGGGGTACCACAGGGCAGTGTATTGGGCTCGCTGTTGTTTGTTTGTTTTATAAATGACATGCCTGACGTCGTACACTCCTCCATACAAATGTTTGCCGATGACGCCAAGTTATTTAGGGAAATAAAGTACCAAGCGGACTGTGAAGAGCTGCAGAAGGACCTCTGTGGGCTCCAGGAATGGTCGAAGAAATGGCTGCTGAGATTCAATGTCACGAAGTGAAAGAGGATGCACCTGGGGCGTACCAGCGATAAGGAGGCGTATCATATGTCCCAACGGGATGAAGAAACTGCACTAGTTGAGACCGTATGTGAGAAGGACCTAGGTGTGTTTGTTGACAATGAGCTGAAGTTCTCGGGCCATTGCGAGAAGAAGGTAAACTAGGCAAATAAATTATTGGGTCTTATAAGAAGGTCGTTCAGATATCTAGGCGGTCCGTCCCTCGTAACGATCTTCAGGAGTGAAGTGCTTCCCCATCTGGAGTACTGTCACCCCGTCTGGTCCCCGAGATATGCTAGGGACTGTCAGTTGGTTGAAAATGTTCAAAGGAGGGCCACCAGACTGGTGCCTGCACTTCGGCACCTCAGCTACCCAAAGAGATTGGAGCGCCTGAACTTGCCTAGCTTATACTACAGACGGGCAAGGGGGGGGACCTAGTTGAGGTGTATAAGCATCTTAGGGGGCACTACTCAGTTGAGTGTCCTTACTTGGAGCTGGCGGACGCCCGCCCCACAAGGGGTCACAGCTCAAGATTGAAGAAGCCGCAAGTCCAGAAAACTGTGAGGGCAAACTTTTTCGGAGTGAGGGTTGTAAACTCTTGGAACAATCTACCAGAGAGTGTTGTGACGGCACCGAGTGTGAGCTCTTTCAAGACAAGACTTGACCAACACTGGGGCTGATTCAGGTACATTCAGGAGCCGGTGCATGCCCAGTATTTGCCAACAGTGCGTGACAGAGACGTGATCGATCGCCCGGGCGGCTAGCGAACCCATCTTTTGGTGAAGAAGATAAATGAAAAGGAAAAGTAATCAGAGACGTGACCGATCGCCCAAGCGGCTAACGAGCCGATCAGTGGCGAAGAGGATAAAAGTAAGTAAAAAGTAGTTATCAGCTAACAACGCGTTATGTTCGAAACAGGGCTAACAAATTACTAGGTTCATTTCTAGGAGCGTTAGTAACAGGTCAAGCGAGGTTATTCTTAAACTATATCTTGCATGTGTGAAACCTCACTTGGATTATGCGGTTCATTTTCGGTCGATTCCTAAGAAAGAATTCAGAAGAGGATGATATAGCTAATCCTGGGCGTTAGGAACCTTGAGTATAGAGACATTAACGAAACGGAATTTGTATTTTCTTGAGAGACGTAGAGTGGGGGGCGATATGAACGATGTATATAAATGGAAGATGGGGTTAGAATAGATAAAGGAGACATAATTCAGGTACTAAACAATCCAACCAGGAACGAACACGTAGCCATGGTTTTAAATTAGACGAATTTGGGGTTTTACGTGAAATAGGGCCTGATGGGAAATTAATCTAAAAATATATCAGCTACGATGTTGTGGGAACGTGAGGTCTGGTGGGAGAGGTAAGGGTGGTATACACAACATTGACGCGCATGCTCTGGGCCAGATGCATTTAATCTCAGAGACACTAACGTCACAACACGAGGAACAAAGAGTGTGTTATCCATCAACATTAATTGACAACGCTTCCCTTCCTAGCTGGCGCCAATTTTATATCCTCAAGGAAAACAGGAAATCCTAATAAAGCAGAAAAATACACTTACCGTAGGAACATCTTCTCGTGAGCACCTAAAACCACGGCAACTTCAAGTCATCTTTTAACTGATACTCAAGACATTGTTGGGTTTTCTCACACGACAGATAAGAAAGATTGCGCTGTAAATATACGAGTGTGTAATGAAACAGACACATCAAGTTTTTCAGCCACTTTCAGAAATCGACAGATGAGGGAAAAATTTCACCTGCACTGACGTATATACCAAAGTCTTTTATCATTTTAATGTTGGTGTGTGTACGTCAAGTGTTGGTGTATGTACGTCAAGTGTTGGTGTATGTACGTCAAGTGATGGTGTATGCACGTCAAGTATTGGTGTATGTACGTCAAGTGTTGGTGTATGTATGTCACGTTACAATTGTTGTCGGGTTGTAGGAGTGCGTGGGAAGTTATGTTGACATGAGCAGCGATTTAGAGGAACAGAGCCAGCCAGCCTGGACCCTCCCTCCCCCTCACCAGAGTTCCTCATATACCGATTCTCACATCACTCCTCGTCACCACTATCTGTAGCAGCAACAGTCATGACCAGAGTGAGGATCTACCTGCTGGCCGCTGTCACCTTCGCCCTTCTACATACAGGTACTGAATGGTTCACCCAACATCTCGTCTATCATGGTGGAGCTCATTCGATAATTTAAAACCTACCTTTAAAAAAGGAAATACGTATATAATATCCACAAAGCCATATTAAGGTATTATTATAAAGCTCGGGATTACAGGGGGTATAATGTAACCTTCTGACCTTTGACCTTTAATTATATGGGTCACTTAAAGGTTCTCTCTGTGACCCATAAAATAACAATGATTCTGTGAGATTTGTTAGTGAGAAAACTTGTCAGTATTTGTGGATTTCGATCTTGGGGAAACATGGCTTTTTAAGAGTTATGAAAGATGAAGAAGAGAAAGAAAAAGAAGAGGAAGAGGAAGAAGATGAAGGAGAGAAAGAGGCAGATGAAAAAGAGGAAGAGGAGGAGGAGGAAGAAGAAGAAGAAGAAGAGGAAAAAGAGGAAGAAGAGAAGGAAGAAGAAGAGGAGGAAGAGGAAAAAGAGAAGGAAACAGAAAAGGAGGAAGAGGAAGAAGAGGAGAAGGAAGTAGAGGAAAAGGGGAAGAGGAAGCTGAAAAAGAGGAAGAAGAGGAAGACGAGGAGGAGGACGAAGTAGCAATAATTAACTTTTATTTACTCTTTTTATTTGTTATTTCTTTATTTCTTTAACTTTACTTACTTTTTCTGCTTCTTTATTCTCTAATTCTCTTTTCTTATTCTTAATTCATTATTCTTTAATTACTGTTTGTCTAACTAAGCAATACTTCCATTATTTGATATATTTTCCACACACACACACACTGTCTCACTTACCGTTCTCTATCTGTCTTCTAGTACTGGGACGGCACCTCAGAGAAGATTGGGCTGGAAAAGGTGCCCTAAACATAGCCTGCCTAAAAAACCAACCTGACCAGGCAACCACACCCAGTATGGTCATCCATATGCGGTCGAAAACACAATACAAATCACAGATTCAAACAAAAACAAACTATACAACCTCTTGTTGCATAGAATGTCAGGACCCTTCTGGATACTGGCACAAATGTGCGTCCTCAAATAAAGAACCGCCCTTGTGGCAAAAGAGCTGGCTGTGAACTCTACTTTCCACTGTTGTTGGACTTATCCATGTGAATCTTTCCGAGAGGGAGAAATGGAAAGTATAAAACAGACTAAATTTACGTTTGTGGTTTATTCTTGTACTTAATTGAGATTGACATAAAATGGGTGATTCTGCTTGGGTGTTTGTATATTTTTGTTTCTTTATTAAGTATATTTAAAAGTGTATATTTTGGTATTTTCTCCAGGCGGCTAAATACGGTGATCCGGCCGACGTTGAGACGAATCTTCAGGGGTCTGAGGGTCAAATCAACTACATCCTGGGAGACGCCGGTCACTCCTTCGTCGTGGGTTTCGGTGTAGACCCTCCACAACCTCCTCACCACCGCTCTAGGTACACACACACACACACACACACACACACACACGCTAATAATAATAATAATAATAATAATAATAATAATAATAATGATAATAATAATAATAATAATAATATTTCTAGAATGTAATTTAATGTGATTATTACTCTACTACCAGCGACTAATAAAGTTAATTACCCACAATACCCAGCTCGTGCCCAGTGCCCCCAGCCTCCTGTACTGATGGCTGGGCACAACAGCAACCGGGACCTAATCCACACACGCTATACGGCGCTCTGGTTGGCGGCCCCTCGGAGGTGAGTGAGAGAGGAAGGGAGTGAAAGAGGGAGTAAGTAAGAGAGGGAGCGAGAGAGAGGGAAGGGGTGAGAAAGAGAGGGAGGGAATGAGTGAGAGGGAAGGAGTGAGTGAATCTGTGACTGTGAGTGAGTGGGTGCGTGTGTTAGTGAACCCTGATACGTGACCTAACACTTAACCTCTGACCCTTAACATTGATACGTGACCTCACACTTAACCTCTGACCCTTAACATTGATACATGACCTCACACGTCTTAACCTCTAACCCTTAACATTGATAATCACCTAACACGTCTTAACCTCTGACCCTTAACATTGATACATAACCTCACACTTAACCTCTGACCCTTAACATTGATACGTGACCTCACACTTAACCTCACCTGACCTCTGCTTGACCATCCCCCACAGGACGATAGCTACGTAGATGACAGAAGCGACTATGTACACAACGAAGGGGCCTGCAACTACAACGCCGCCTATACGGGAGCTCTGGTAGCCATCATCGAGAACATTTAGAAACCTACACCTCAGTAAAATATAAACCATTAAACACAAAAGATCCCTACTACTGGTGTGATATTAGAAACCATTAACCACTGCTGTTATATTAGAAACCATTAACCACTGCTGTTATAATAGAAACCATTAACCACTGTTTTTATATTAGAGACCATTAACTACTGTTGTTATATTGGAAACCATTAACCACTGTTGTTATAATAGAAACCATTAACCGCTGTTGGTATATTAGAAACCATTAACCACTGCTGTTATATTAGAAACCATTAACCGCTGTTGTTATATTAGAAACCATTAACCACTGCTGTTATATTAGAAATCATTAACCACTGCTGTTATATTAGAAACCATTAACCGCTGCTGTTATATTAGAAACCATTAACCACTGCTGTTATATTAGAAACCATTAACCACTGCTGTTATATTAGAAACCATTAACCACTACTGTCATATTAGAAACCATTAACCACTTCTGTTATATTAGAAACCATTAACCACTGCTTGTATATTAGAAACCATTAACCACTGCTGTTATATTAGAAACCATTAACCGCTGTTGTTATATTAGAAACCATTAACCACTGCTGTTATATCAGAAACCATTAACCACTGTTGTTATATTAGAAACCATTAACCACTGCTGTTATAATAGAAACCATTAACCGCTGTTGTTATGTTAGAAACCATTAACCGCTGTTGTTATATTGGAAACCATTAACCACTGCTTTTATATAAGAAACCTTTAACCGCTGTCGTTATATTAGAAACCATTAACCGCAGTTGTTATATTAGAAACCATTAACCGCAGTTGTTATATTAGAAACCATTAACCACTGCTTTTATATAAGAAACCATTAATCACTGCTGTTATATTAGAAACCATTAACCACTGTTGTTATATTAGAAATCATTAACCACTGTTGTTCTATTAGAAACCATTAACCACTGTTGTTATATTAGAAACCATTAACAACTGCTGTTATATTAGAAACCATTAACCACTGTTGTTATATTAGAAACCATTAACCACTGCTGTCATATTAGAAACCTATTATTACTCGTTCCTTAAGAATATAAACTTATTATTATTGGGGCCCATCAGGACTGGGGTCTATTACTGTCAGGGCCCGTTAAACATGCATCCTCCACCCTTACGTTATGAAATAAATAGTGAATATAATTTATCATTGTTTTCATTATCCACATCAGTACATTATACGAACAATGAAAAGTAGCTAAGTAAAGAAAATAATAATAATAATAATAATAATAATAATAATAATAATAATAATAATAATAATAATAATAATAATAATAATAGCAATGGTGATAATAATAATATAATAGAGCAAATCCAGACGTGAGAGTAACAGTAAGCAGACAAGCAATTAACACTAAGCAGGTGAAACATAAGTAACAGTAAGCAGGTAAACAAGTAACACTAAGCTGGTCAAGCATAAGTAACAGTAAGGAGGTAAACAAGTAACGCTAAGCAGGTAAACATCGGTAACGGTAAGCAGGTAACGACAATGCTACTAATTTGCTGTCACTCGGAATCGAGTATGACGATCATCCAGCTGTGATACAATGATAAGAGTTATTAAGGATGTCACCTAGGTTGGTGAGTTCTGAGGTGACTAAAGAGGCCGACACGGGACCGGCAGGGTCGAATCACAGATGTTGCACATGTGGGGGGCTACATCTAGTGCGGGAGGGGTGGCTGCAGCGTCTTTCCGGCGTTGGCGCTTGTCTGCCTCGTTATGCAGTCGGGCAAACTCGAAAGTATTGACACCTTCTTGTGTGGTGATCCTCCAAGCGTGACGGTGTGAAGTAAGCGTCTCCCAGGTGAGGGGGTCGATTTGGCACGTTTCAGGTTTGTCTTAAGACAATCCTTATACCTTTTCAGTTGCCCACCAGCGTTACGTTTACTATTCGTTAGGTGACTGTAAAGTAGCTGCTTTGGCAGTCTACTGTCTTCCATGCAGGTAACATGGTCAGTCCAGCGCAGTTGTTCATGGATAATGGTAGCCTCGATGCTCCTATAGTTGATGTCAGAAAGAACACATTGGTCTTTTGTCTTCGCAACGAACTCGGAGGATGGTACATAGACTACCTTGGTGAAAGTTTTAAAGTGCCTTGAGGTGCCTCCTGTATGTTACCCATGTCTCGCTGCCATATAGCAGGGTGGGGAGGACCGCTGCTCGATATATGTGTAACTTAGTAGATTATTTCAGCTGCCTACAGCTGAAGACACGGTTTCCGGGTCTGCCAAACGCTTGAGATGCACATCTGATCTGATGTCCGCAGAGGTGGACAGGTGGGAGCCGAGATACCAAAAGAGGGTAACATTAGAGAGGGTAGTACCGTTAAGCTGGATGAATGGTGGAGGTGTGGCTGAACCAGGGGCAGGCTGAAAGAGACTAAGTATTACGTACATTCACCTCAAGGCCGAAGTGTGCATATGCATCTGCGTAGGTGTTCAGGATCTACTGTAGGTCGCTTTCAGCGTGAGCGACAAGGGTGAACTCGTCTGCATGCTGAAGCTCAGTAATGGAAGCTGCCGACCCCAATGTTTCAGCCTGGAGTCATCTTTCCTGATCCGGTTAAATTGGCGCTGGCACGGATAAGGAAGGCAGCCAAGAAGATGGAAAAAAAAGAGTTGGTGCCAGTACACACCCTTGTTTAACTGCCATTTGAATGGGGAAGAACTCAGACTGGGTGCCATTGTGCAGGACACTGCCGTTCATATCATCGTGGAGATGCCACATAGAGATTCTGGGAAGAAGTTTTCCGCTTCAGGAAGAAGTCTGTTTAGGAGGACTCGGGCGATAATCTTGCCAACTACAGACAGCAGCGAGATCCCATTGTAGTTACCACAGTCTGACCGGTCTACCTTGTTCTTATAAATATTAAGAGCTTGGGGGATTTCCTTCTTTTCCCATATATTCTCCAGGAGAGAGTGGAGACGGCTGGTAAGCAGAGGTCCCCCTGCTTTATGCAGCTCGGCTGGGATTCCATCAGGCCCTGAGGCTTTGTTATTTTTTATCTGTTTGATGGCAGTAGCTACCTCATCCAGGGATGAGGGATAGCTGAGATGGGTCATCTCTGGATACTGAGAGACCTGCTGGATAGTCAGGACATCCACATCGGTGTTTTGGTTGAGCAGTGAATGGTAGTGCTCTTTCCAGCACTGAAGGAGGCCTTCATCGTCTTTAAATATGGAGTTACCGTCGGATAAGCGGAGGGGGGCTGCACCACGAGTGATTGGCCCATAAAAAAAACGGACCAATAAGCGACAATGGAGATGAGATCCTCAAGTAACTCCTAATTTGAGTAAACAAAAGCACGAACGGATCAGATGGGGGATATTATGGTCGAGAAATTTACAGTTATTTACTTAAAAAGGATGAGCTTAGGATGGGATACCTAGGGGTGGGGGTAAAGTATATAGAAAATACCTGAACCCAAACAGCATTGAATTGATACAAAGATAATTAAAGTATGTAGTCTTCATGGTGATTCACAATAGACAAGCTTCATCAGAGAGGATACAGTGTGTGTGTGTGTGAACTAAAAATGCAACGAGGTAACACACGGAGGAATCACATGATAGTCGTACCCGCACACACGCACACACACACACACACACACACACACACACACACACACACACACCAAGCTCATTATTATCTGAACCACACTTGGGGTTCTGCCCACGACTACGATTAACTTTCTAAAGGGCAACTTGCAGCTGGCGACAGAAACAGGTGTCCTATTGACGTCAGAGGTACTTCCTTTGCATTTTGTGGATTGTATTGACGTCCATGGCTAGTTTTAACGCTTACGTAGAAGTTTACAAGAACCAAGTTCACCAAGTAATAAAGGGGAAACTTACCCCAACGTTCCCTGGGGGCGTGGGAGCCTTGGTGAGGTTTATAAACTGAGAGCGAAAACCATTCGTCACCAGTGTGTCTCCCGCAGCAGACATAACCAGAATGCTGACAAAGATCTTCCTACTGGGTGCCGCCACCTTCGCTCTCCTCCATACAGGTATTTACTATCTCATTTTTTGGCTCTGGAATAAACTTTGAGGTCTTTTGGGGAATTCCAACTTCGAATAATTTTCTGGTTATCCCCAACCTAATAACGAAAAATTATAAAGGGTAACCAAAAATCTCAGGAAGACTCGTGGTAGTAATGTTTGTGTCTCAGATATTTCGATTACCGACGCTGTAATCCCTGTACACTAAGAGAAAAATAATCGAACTGTTCCTCAGATGTGGAACTTCATTCTTGTTCCTCTTCCTGTTACTGCTCTGGAAACTAATCCCTTACACCGGGCTGCAGGTCTCGTGTGGCTGTTTCTTAAATCACTAAAAGCAAAACAAAAAACTTTACATTTCTTTTCACTGGCTCAAAGACGCGCCCTAAGACACTCACTCTGGTACACTTCCTCCACTACAGCTTCTACAGTTCGTGAGTGAGATACATGTTGTGTCTTCCTTCCCACGCTAAAATAACGTTTCATTTCAGGAGAGGCGCTGGTGGCTCGCCTCGAGGACGTTCCCAACCCCTGTAAAACGACTGGCATGAAACCTTTTGACTACAGCCAGGTAAACCATCCGTGATCTTCCTGTCTGGGTCAATTTCATTTAACCAGCGACTTAGATAGGGACGAGCACTTCTTTGAAACCACGTGAAGGGTCTCTACCTTAGAAAACTTCTTTGATATAACCTTAATGAGCATTAATTTTGTCACAGTGTGTAGAACCTTATTAAGCATATAGTGTTACCCAGTCTGCCTTGCCCCTTGTCAGTTACTATGCATAGTAACACATGTAGTGCACACCTGTTCTCTTCCTCTACAGTGCTATGCGTGACGACACCTGCAGTTCACATCTCTTGGTCTAATTACACAGCGTTACATCAGCCTTTCCCCTAATACCGAGTTATGCAATTTAGACACGGAATTATGGTAGAATTACACCTGATATTCCCGCCTCTCTGCTCCTACAGTTACTGTGTATGTCGGTCCTATTCTACGAGGCTCAACGCTCTGGTGAACTGCCCGGGGATCAGCGACTCACCTGGCGGGGAGACTCAGCCCTTAAAGATGGTTCTGATGTCGGCCACGATCTTACTGGTGGATATTTCGATGGTGAGTCGACGGAGGAAAGAAAGAGATAAATAGAGAGAAACAATACAAAAACAAAATCACTGCAATTCTTTCGTACTTGTCATCTTTGTTCTTCATCACCATTCATACATAACATTCAGTTCACTAACTCTGGTGACCCATTAAATCAGCAACAGTCATTTTTATGTTGAAGTGTTTTGTCTACATGTTATGGTACGGTTTTATTAATCTGTTTAATAACTTCTCAGCAACTGACGAGCTTGTGTTTCCTTCCTCAGCTGGTGACTTTGTGAAATTTGGTTTCCCGATGGCTTTCAGTACCACCCTCCTGGCCTGGGGCCTTATCGACTTCAGTAATGGTTATTCTTCTGCAGGTACGTCCCTCTCTTATCGTTAGTACCTGACCTTTTTATTCCCTACCAGTTCTCTATAGTTTGGATCGTGTTTACTACCTGATCTCTACGTATTACCTGTCCAGACGTAAACGAGATAGAGGATAGAACTCTCTCTCTCTCTCTCTCTCTCTCTCTCTCTCTCTCTCTCTCTCTCTCTCTCTCTCTCTCTCTCTCTCTCTCTCTCTCTCTCTCTCTCTCTCTCTCTCTCTCTCTCTCTCTCTCTCTCTCTCTCTCTCTATATATATATATATATATATATATATATATATATATATATATATATAATAAGATTCAAGAACAAATTAACAAAGTAATAACCATTTTTTTTTTTACTTTCCTCTCTTTGGGTTCCTTGTTCACGTTGTTTTAGTTCCCTTCAATAACTCCTTTAGATAGGTAGAGTGTCGTGATACAATAAACAGTGAGGAATACAGTGCACTCTACACGGCTTTATCTAATCTTCAGGTGATCCGAAAAATAATTCTCTCAGTGGGTCAGTCAGTAAGATGAAGAGGAGACAGTAGAGATGAGAAGAAAGATTTCCATTCATGATATTAATGTTAGTAATGTTTTGTGTTTCCTCATGGCAGGTCAGACCAATCATGGCAAAGCAGCTGTTAAATGGGCCACTGACTATTTCCTTAAGTGTCACACCGGTCACTACGAATTCTACGGTCAGGTGGGTATGTGGATGTGGTTGATGGAGTCATGTGGGTGTGTAGACCTGTAACTTTTAAGGCCTGTGATGAGTGGGACTTGCCATTACACAGTCCCACTTAAAAGTAATTTGCTTTTAGTGCTTTAAGAAATACCTACTACTGAGAGAGAGAGTTGCATCATACTGCGACACTCAGGTTCGACAAAACATCCGCGAGATGTTTAATACGGCTATAACCTGTGAACAACCTTTACCCTGGCTTACAGGTGTGTGGATGTTAAGTGTGTGGTTCACAGGGTCATGTGGGTGTGTGGGTGTGGTTGAAGGAGCTATGTGGATAGTTCAGTGTGGTTGGGTGGTAGCAGGTGGGTTGTTGTGTGTGGTTGGGGAGGTCAGGTGGGTGGTTCAATGAGGTTGGGTGGTAACGGGGGTGGTTGTATTATCCTCTACTGAACCAAACCAGGATAACTTTTACATGTCAGTATGAACACGTGTCGGATGTTCATCACTAACCTAACCTAACCTAACCTAACCTAACAAGAGCTTCTCAACACGTGATTACTACTCCACCTTCGTCAGGTTGGTGACGGCCACATCGATCACGATTACTGGGGACGGCCTGAGGAGATGACCATGAAGAGACCTTCCTTTAAGATCGACAGCAGCAAACCAGGTGTGTGTGTGTGTGTGTGTGTGTGTGTGTGAGAGAGAGAGAGAGAGAGAGAGAGAGAGAGAATACCAGAGTTCCTTCCTTCACCAGTAGTATATATACACAGTTAAAGAAGGCGGCTGTTATTCGGATATATGTAATACTGTACACGTTTGAGGAAATATTGTAGATAACAATGATAGATAGTGTTTCTAGGGCGGCAGTAGTGGTAGTGAGTGACTTATAATACTGTCTATTTTTCCCCGTAGGCACTGAATTGGCTGGCGAGACTGCTGCTGCCCTCGCCGCTGCCTATATGGTGTTCAAGGTAAATTGTCTTTCTTAGTTAATTGCCTCTCGCTACCAGTACTACTAATACAACTACCATTCATCCTGATCGGTAACAATATTGACAACATGTAGTACCACAATCACTAACTCTTATCACAACATTAACCAACACTGCTTACCACAACAACCACTACTACTACTACTACTACTACTACTACTATTACTTTTTTTTTACGTGGCCTCCAGCCTCCCCTAATAACCACACCTTCGCCGCCATTTTTTACCTTGAAATTAAATATCCTAATACATAAGTAGCTATCCTAGCTGTGTTGAGTTAGTTGAGCCGCAGATCTATGTGGCATTCAGTGACTGTTGCCCCATAGTCAATATCTGCAACTGTTGTCGGTTTTGGGGCCGATGCTCTCGTTCTCCTGAGGCAGAGCAAAGCAGACCTAAGGAGAAAGAAGGACAGTCGACATCTCATCCAGGCTGTAACATAACTTCTGGGCTGCGGCTTCTGTTCGGATATCACCTCCGCGAGTCTGGCGTAGAAGCATCTGGCACTTGGTCCCATCCCACCAGAGGTTGTGAACACTAGAGGAGTGAAGCTGCCTTGATCAACGTTCTGAATTCTCTCCCCATATGCCATTATCTTGTCGTTCTCGTTCCTCCTCTGTGCAGCATCGAGAGCTAAGTTACTGTGACATGCGACCATGGGATCAAAAATCCTGATGTTGAAGAAGGCTCGCTGTCCCCGCGTCCAGAATCCTCGAGCACTGACATCAACACGGGGTTCGTTGGATGTGTTTGAAGTCCTATGTTAAAATTCTCACCGTCCAATAGATAGAGTGTCGGTTCTACCCTGACATCACGGCAGATTTCCTTCAACATATTTGCTGTGAGATCCCTTACTTCATCATGCCTCATGCATATGAAGTCCCCTTTCTTCCACACCATGGCGTGATCGACGTCATAGGAAGAGCCACACAGCAATGGGAGGGCAACCTTCTACTGTCCTACCATACCTTAGAGCAATGGCATCTGTAAATTCTTGTTTATTGAGACTGAAACCATTTGCCCTTATCAGTAATGTAGTTAACCATTTCGAGGCGCCCACCTCCAGCGCAATAGCTACTTTTTTTCCAAATTCTCTGGTACTTGCAGCATCAGTTGCTGCAACTTATCACTTTGGCCGTGCTGTCGTTCTGTCATAATGGACCTTCGAATCTTGTTTACTTCACTGGTATCCACCTCCCCTGTTGCTATTATGTGGTCAGTGAGGGCTTCCGTGAGCTTAACTGAGTTTTGATGTTCGGTGGCAGCAATTTCCTCTGGATTGGTCAATCCCATTCCTCCCAGTCTCGGTGGTAGTGCAAGGAGTGATCTTTCTGCTGGGGTTAAGTGAGGGTGTTTCACTAATTTGGGAATGAAATTGACACTGATAGCTTCTTCCAGAGGGTGGAGGAGGGGTCCGATATCAGTGATAGTGCGTATCAGGTAGCTCCAGCGATGCTTGACTCCATGGGTGAATGCCGCAAAAGCCGCATGTGGTTCTGTGTTAGCAATATCAGACAGAGCTTGGATTTCCCTAACCCACTCATTCACCTTTCCCGTTACGTACTCGGTTTTGAAGTCCGTCGTGCCGATTACTGCGCCTAGGTGCCTTTGGCCATCCTTTAGTTATTTTGACCTCACTTCCACCGAACACCTCCATTGCTCGTTCATAATGTTCTGGCTTCACAATGAGAAAGGACTTGCTGGCGTTTGGGTGGTACCCTATTTGTGGACCTCGCAGTGTTACCAGGTTCCACCACTACTACTATTACTACTACAACAGCCACTACATTCACTAGCACTACTCACCACCACTACCCATCATCATCACCACCACTACTACCCACCACTACTACTACCCACCACCACCACCACCACTACTTGCCACCACCACCACCACCCACCACCATCACCACCACTCATCACCACCACTACTACCCCCACTACTCACCACTACTCATCACAACCATTACTTCACCGGCAGAGTTCGGACGCCAGCTACTCCAAACAGTTATTATCAACGGCTAAAGAACTTTATCAGTTCGCCAACGAGAAGCGAGGCAGCTACAGCGACTCCATCCCAGAGGTCAAAGACTTCTACAAGTAAGTATTGATAACCTGGAGTTTCCCCCGTCCACCATCCACTCTCTTATTTTTGTTTTATTTATTCTTCATTTCATTCATTTTCTTTCTTGACTTCCACGGTCAAATTTAATTCATTCATCATCCTCGTTTTCAATCTTGTTCATATATATTTTATGATCTGACTCATTAAATATCAAAATATATGATGACTTGACCATCTTACTCTATGACCTGACTATTATCGCCATCACGAACCAGGTCATTAGTATATTATGACCTGACTCTGCCACCAGGTCATTAATACATTATGATCTACTCTGCCACCAGGTCGTGGAACGGGTTTGGTGACGAGCTGCTGTGGGCCGCTGCCTGGCTGTACAGAGCAACTGGGGACACAACCTACCTAGACAAGGCCAAAGAACACTGGGACGAATTCGATCTGGGTGACCCCCCGACAGAGTTCTCCTGGGACTCCAAGGCTCCAGGTGCCTATGTGAGTCTTCATCCCACTGAATATTACCCCCATCATATACCACTGTAATGAAAACTCCTCTAAGTCTTATAGTGAAAAAATTAAATATCTTAATTTCGTTCTTTTTGTGCTGCCATTATAAGGTATTGCGTGTTATAAATGATTGGTATCTAATTATATTTTGTTATAAAACTTCCCCGTCAAGTTGTTCCAACCTTCCACATCCAACAATATCAGCCACTTGGATGTGATTTTATCCTCCTCATCCCTCTACACTCTACATTCAACATCCCCCTGACTGCGCTACCTGCTCCTCCTCCTCCCACAGGCAGTCTTGGCTCTTGCCACTGGTAATGATCTGTATAAGAACACCCTCAAGACCTGCTTGGACAACATGAGGCACGACCTGCCCTACACCCCCGCCGGCCTGGTCTTCGTCAACGACTGGGGCTCCAACAGACACGCCGCCAACCTCGCCATGTTGGCCATGGTGGTGAGTACGTTGAGGGGCATTCACTAAAGCGGCCAGTTATCAATTCATCAATAAATCAATACACAGATCAAGTCATTCATCACTACCCTACTCATACACCGAGACTTTTCCTTGAACCCAGGCAGGCAAGTTGAACATCGACGCCAGCACCAACAGGCAGTGGGCGAAGAAGCAGATCGACTACATGCTGGGTGATCCTCTACACTCCTACGTGGTGGGCTTCGGTAGCAACCATCCTAAGAAGCCTCATCATGCCTCCTCGTGAGTGCCTTGTCATTCCCCCCTTTATTGTCTCATTAATAACAGTTTTGTCAATATTGTCACTTCATTTGTTATCATCTGTTGTCACCTAAGTTGCCAGAGACTAATCTTTGTTTTTGTTTTTTCCAGTTCCTGCCCCGACATGCCAGAGAAATGTGACCCTAACTGGGCCATGAACCAGGATGGCCCTAACCCCCAGACACTGTGGGGCGCGCTTGTTGGTGGTCCCTCACAAGTATGTATACTAACTCTCTCTCTCTTCTTTTGTAATACTTTTAATGTCGTGTACAGTATATTTTAGTCAATCATTTATTAAATACTTTAATCATTCATTCATACTTTAATCAATCATTTAATAAATACATTTCTTACTAATTAGTTTGTTTTCTGTCCATTAATATTCAACTGATGTAAAATAGCCATTGTATATATTATTTTTTCGAGGGTCCACCAATCACAGCATTTCTTTCACTTTGTGTCTTTGAGCTCCTACCAATCACAGCGATTCTATATGCACGTGCTGTCGAGGTCCACCAATCACAGCGACTCTCTCTTTCTCCCTCATTTAACACAGGACGACTCGTACAGTGACAGCCGCCCAGACTACCAGCATAATGAGGTGGCGTGTGACTACAATGCCGGCTTCACCGGTGCTTTGGCTGGCCTGGTAGAACACCACTAGACCCCCTCACAAGCCCGATCAACCCCTACTGCCACGTCCATGGTCTGGTCGAACACTTCTAGCGCCTCTCCGGACATGATCGAACACTTCTAGCGCCTCTCCGGACATGATCGAACACTTATAGCGCCTCACCGAACATGATTGAACACTTCTAGCGCCTCTCCGGACAAGATCGAACACCTCTAGCGCCTCTCCGGACATGATCGAACACTTCTAGCGCCTCTGCGGACATGACCGAACACTTCTAGCGCCTCCCCGGACATGATCGAACACTTCTAGCGCCTCTCCGGACATGATCGAACACTTCTAGCGCCTCTCCGGAGATGATCGAACACTTCTAGCTCCTCTGCGGACATGACCGAACACTTCTAGCGCCTCTACGGACATGATCGAACATTTCTAGCGCCTCTCCGGACATGATCGAACACTTCTAACGCCTCTCCGGAGATCATCGAACATTCAATAGATTAACCGAACACATATAGCACTTCGCTCAGGGGTTTTACGTCCTCTTGGTGAATGAATTCTTCTTTCAATTTATTCTTAAGATTAATAAACTAATACAGATTACAGATTGCCCACGAGAGGGCTAGTTTATTGGGCACCCCCTTACATCCTGTGCAAGGTTAATAAACTAATATTGATGCATATCTTGGTTTAAAGTTGACCTTAGAGTATTATGATGAAGGGCGAAGGAAGGAAATAGGAAGAAAGGAAGGAAATAAGAAGGAAGGAAGTAAGAAGGAAGGAAAGAAATAAGAAGGAAGGAAGGAAATAAGAAGGAAGGACGACTGACTTATGATGAAACACTTTGGTCTTGACCTTCACGCACACTCCTCTGCCCGCCCTCACACACCCCTCCCCCTACCCGCACACACCCCTCCTCCTACCCTCACACACCTCTCTCCCTACCATCACACACCCCTCCCCCTACCCGCACACACCCCTCCTCCTACCCTCACACACCTCTCTCCCTACCATCACACATACCCCACACACACCTCTCTCCCCACCCCTCCTCCACCCTCACACACCTCTCTCCCTACCATCACACACCCCTCCCCCTACCATCACACACCTCTCTCCCTACCATCACACACCCCTCTCCCTACCCTCACACACTCCCCTACCTCACCTTCACCGGGGTGTCAGGGTCAAACTGCTGTGGATCCCCTCTCACATAGGCCTCATAAAACATGACAGAGTTGATGCCCTCGCCAAACTCGCGTCTAACAAAGACACTGTTGAATACAATCTGGGTCTCTCAAAAAGAACCCTTAAAACTGTAATCAAGAAGGAACTTATTGATGAATTTGACGCAAGCAGACAGTGCAAACAGGCACTAGTCGATCCATAGTTTACCATGATGAGATGTATCAAATGAAACATGTAAATGGAGCAAGTAACAAGATCACTAGATTACAAGATGTTGTACTGTAACCGCTAGAATAAGGTTAGGGTATAAGTACCTCTGGCAGTATGTCCCTCAAACAGATGAGAACAAGACTAAATGTAAAGTGTGTGGCCATACATATGGCCACACACTTGAACACTACGTCCTCGACTGTGTGAAGATAGAACCTTTTAGGGACAGATCCAAGCACACTGTGTGTGAAATGGCACAACACTTCATTTCTAATGGCAAGATAGCCGACATATTAAGACTGTAACCACTTTTTTGCACCCAGTAGCTATATCAGTTCTCATGTATAGAACCAAACACAGTATGTGCTTGAATACTTCTCACACAAATGTGAATAAAAATGTGTGAGGCCAGACACACTGCCTCACACTCCTGTAATTATACAGTTGTGAATAAGTTACGCTTTGTGTATAGAACTTAACAAAGAATTTATTTTAAATACTGTGTATCATTCAATGCCATAATATCCTGACCACTCTATAATCCTTTTGCGCTACCGCTCACAGGATGAGTATGGGATGCACAATAAAATAAATTTAAATTAAGAATCACCCACTTCCCTCCTTAAGTGCCGGCGGAGTGAATAAAGTGAACTTGTAAGTCGCGATAAGTAGTTTTTAAATAGCAAGAAAGAAAATCATAATATATTAGTGAATGTGTGTTGGATATTGGCTGACTACTTAATATAAAAAACTATCTCTCACTATTTATAACTGATAAAAACAGATAACTGGACAAAAAGAGGGACATTAACCTAACCTACACACAGAATGACAAGAAGAATGGCTGGTAAAGCAAACCTTAAAAAACGTAAACATTGTGACGTCATTGTTTACAAATATACTGAAGGTAGGCGAACAGAGGTGTATTACAAAGGAATAATAATGATAATGGTTGCCTCTCGTGTAACGAGGATGGCCAGCCCAAGGGCCACCTAGGTGTGAATTTGTTTAAGGTGTAGAAGCTGTCGCCAACACAACAACCACGCTCTGAGTTAACGGGCTGCATGACCCAGTGTCAAGGAATAGTCCGAGAAGACCGGACAACTCGCCAACTGCACTGGCTAATCATTACCCCCGGAACACGATCCGCAAATCGATTAACATCTAGGTTCCCAATTACTGCTGGGTAGACAGAGGCAAATGGCGTAAAGAAACTTGCCCATAGTTTCACCCTGCCCGGCCGAACCCAAGTCCGGTCGCTTGCGAGGCGAACATGCTGACCATTACACCACAGGTCGCCAACACATCCAAACATACATCCAAACATAAACTTCCAGGGAACAATTCTCATAATGTTATCTTGCAGGCTGTCCCTTAATGGCGATTCACAAGGTGACTTTTCTCCCGTAGGAATAACTCAGCCACGACCACTGCATCACTCAGCATAAAGACTATAAATACGACCACTTCTGAGGGTGGGGAGGGGTAGGGAGAGGGGAGGGTAGGTGAGGGGGAGGGTAGGTCAGGGTGAGGGGGGGAAGGTGGTGAGGGTGGGTAATAGCACAAATAATAACAGCAATAATAATACCAATGATAATAACACCGATGGTAATAATAATAATAATAATACGTAGCAGTGTGGGTCAGGTCAGTCGAATACACCTCCATTAAATATAACTGTCATAAGTCATACATTTTATTCACCTAACTTACTGTCTCGCCACGTAACTAATACGTACAATATATCTCACACTCCTATATGCTGGGATTCGGGGGATTTTAGTTGGATTTTTCTACACAAGGAGATTATAACCCGAATTATTGCATTTTTTATTACGGTGTCGTATCTTTTACAATGACAATGTGTTTACACCGATCAGCTGTTTTTCATGTATTTTTACTGCTTGGTCGTCTTTTACAAGGCTACATGAACCCTCAACTGTGATTGGTTGAACGGTCAGACAAAAAATGAACCCAATTGTTATACAGTAATACCCCGACCCCCTCAAGTGTGTTCCCACGTAATCACTTCAATTCACGTTATCTCCCGCGCCTGTTGCTGAGGACAAGCAGGTGTTTTTACTTTTACGTACCCAGCAAGAAAAATGTCATCCTCGGTTGACGTCAGAGTTCGTGGGAATAAAACGATTTTAGTTCAGGATTCCAGTTTTACCTATTTACCTATGTGTGTGTGTGGACTTACATAATTTTTTGTTTTTTTAAGTTTATTGGGCACCCCCCTACATCCTGTGTAAGGTGAAGCGCAGAAGCGCTTACAGCGCCCATCTGGGAAGCATGCTAAGTCCATGCTTGCCTTTATGTCTCATGAGTTAAGGGCATAGAAGCCTGAAGGGTCATAGGTTTTTTTGTCAAGGGCGTAGAAGCCTGAGGAGTCATAGGTTTTTTTGTCAGCAAGTTATTGGAACAGGGACCAAGGGGGAATCGAACCCGTGACATCTAGCTTGCGAGGCAAGAGCGGTACCGTTCTACCACCGGCGCCCCGACTTACATCATGGGGACACGAGAAAGTGAAGGTCTCGTACAGTTGTCAGCTGCCGTTCAGGAATTTCGGGTTGTCTTCAAATATAAATCATATGTGTTTTAATTTCCCCGAGAAGAACTGGTTCATTCCCAATTAGAGAAGTGAAGGCAGTCTCCTTGTGTGCACTGAAGGCGAGTGAAAAGTAAAGTGTGCTGTATCCAAACTGTCCCTGAAGCGTGTTCATGCTTTGGGACTCTGTTTCGTGTGGGGGAAGGGAAAACGCGCACGTAATTGAAAACTGCATTGTATTACAGAGGCAGAATACTCGCCTTTTATCAAATATTTAAGATTATGGAGTCACTAGTATAATACGGTACAAATATACAAAACGTCGTTGCTAAACTTACGGACAAAATTCCCTTCGACAATATCTATGTATCCGTCTTTGTTATATATTATTAACAAAATAACGATGAAAAATTAGTTTTCCGAATTGTCTTACTTTCTTAAAACTTCTCATAAATAAACTTCTTCCCATTGTGATCATGACTACGCTCATTATCTTCATTATACCACCACCATCATCATCATCATCACCACCATCATCATCATCATCATCATCATCATCATCATCATCATCATCATCATCATCACCATCATCATCATCATCATCATCATCATCACCATCATCATCATCATCATCATCATCATCACCATCATCATGCCCCCTTACCTCTCAACAAAAAAATAATAATAATCATAGAATAGATATATAGATCGATCGATAGATAGATAGATAGATAGGTAAGCAGACTGCGTACTATATTTTTGTCAGTGGTCGTACTTATGTCAGTGGTCGTACTTATGTCAGTGGTCGTACTTATGTCAGGGGTCGTACTTATGTCAAGGGTTCTACTTATATCAGGGGTCGTAATTACGTCAGCAGTTGGTGTCCACTGATCTCCTCGGTCCAACCTATGTCACAGGTCCCATGACATCACTGAAGTTGCAACATTATCAGTACCAACACACAATACAATATACAGGCGCTAGGAGATAAGAGTTTACTGTATATATCTTGAAGCAACAGAGTCATCGCTTACCAGTGTCTCCTGCTGCAGTTATGGCCGGAATGCTAGTGAAGACCTTCCTACTAGGGGCGGCCACACTCGCCCTCCTCCATGCAGGTACTCACTCATCCACCACCACCACCTCTTGTACCTGGTGTTGACGTGAGCGTAATGTTAGTTCACATACAGTTCAGTACACTCCCGTAAAGAGAGGATGAGCGGAAAATAAGTGACACATTTTAAACACATGTAAAATCCTGCCATTATTACCATACGTCATGCACCATTATACAACATACATACAGCACAATATACATCATACATATTACATAAAATACACTTGCAAAAATATATACAGTGGTAGTGTATACACGTTGTTTATACTGAGACTACTATACGTGTGAGCTATTTGTCATCCACCATATTATAAACACCCACTGATGTGTTCCTTCTTACCACACATATACACACAGAACACATGGATGCTTCCTTCTGTTATCTCCCTCGTTATGTACACCTTTATGGTCTACTACAGGTGAAGGAGGACGTGTGGTTGACCTGAGGGACGTACCCAACCCTTGTGAGCCAACAGGTATGGCTCCCTACGACTACAAACAGGTAAGATATCCATAATTTATGAGATGTTCGTAAATCAATATTTTACCGTACCTGGCTAGAGTAAAAGATATCTAGTTGATTAATAGAGTCTAGGTGTGTTTTCGATGCCATGTCACTTCTTTAGTTAGTTAGTTTGTTGTACCCTTTATGCCCCAGTTTCGGGAAAGGTCAGGATTCATAAAGATTATATGCTTCAAGCGACTCTAACGGTGGTCAAGAGAACACTAGTCAATACAGTGTCTCGTTGTGTATATAATGACTTTTGGGATGTAACTTTTGTGTGTGTTTGAGCCTCAAGCAGCCAGTCCTTACGTCTCCAGTAACGAGGGAAATTTGACACTTTTAGGGAACCTTTGAGTAACGTTGTTTAGTTCAGGTGTTTCAGCCTCTCTCCCACAGGTGCTGTGTCTATCTTACACCTGTCGTCTACACCTGTCCTCCCCTTCTACAATTGAACCTCCTCCACCTGTCGTTCACACGCATGTCCTCCCCTCCTACACCTGTCCTTCCACCCTACACCTGTAGTACACACGTGTTTTCACCTCCTACACCTGTCCTCCCCTCTTACCCCTGTAGTTCACACGCATGTCCTATGTCCTCCCCTCTACACCTGTCCTCACCTCCTACACCTGTTTTCCCATCCTACACTTATAGTTAACACTTGTCCTCACCTCCTACATCTGCCCCTCCCCCCTTCACCTGTCCTCCCATCCAACACCTGTGGTTCACACTTGTCCTCCCCTTCTACACCTGTAGTTCACACCTGTCCTCACCTATACCATTAGTTCACACTTGTCCTCACCCCCTGCACCTGTAGTCTACACCTGTCCTCCTCTACACCTGTAGTTAACACCTGTCCTCTGCTCTCACACCTGTAGTCTACCCCTGTCCTCCCCTTCTACAGACACTGTGTATGGCGTATGTGTTCTACGAGGCTCAACGCTCAGGTAAGCTGCCTGAGGACCAACGACTCACCTGGAGGGGCGATTCTGCCTTGGGCGACGGGTCTGACGTGGGCCTCGATCTTACCGGAGGATACTTTGACGGTGAGAGAGAGAGAGATGGGATACTCTTCTTGACTTCATCTTCTTCGTATTATTATTATTATTATTTTTTTTTTATTATTATTATGACCAGATACAAACAGTCTTCCTCCATGATTTAATTAACAACACCATTTTACCATTTCAGCTGGCGACTTTGTCAAGTTCCTGCTTCCTCAAGGCTTCACGGCTACCATGATCGCTTGGGGTCTGGTTGACTTCCCCCAGGGCCACGAAGCTGCAGGTAGGCAGGCGGTGGCGATGGTGATTTTGATGGGAGTATATAAATTTTCATTTTGTTTTCAAGCGTTGGATTATCTGTTGGTGTTTTTATTAGCCACGCCAACAAAAACTGCCGTCTTTTGTTTCTCTGATTTTAACACAAAGCCAAGACGAGTGGGAAGTACTTCCACCTTCCACAATCGCTTGACCCAGACTAAACGAGTAAACAATGAAAACAAACAGTTCAAATGAGACTTGCGCAGTTCACTGACGCGGGCTAAGACATTTCCTGGCTCTTCCTCTTAATTTTATTCTTGGAACATTAATGGATCCCTATAAACTAACCAGATTTTATTACTTATCGAAAAATCCTCCTCAGTGTCGGTGTAATGGTTATAGTTGTCGCCTTTATATAGAAAATGGAAACTGAAATGGAGAAAAAACGATAAAAATAGATAAATCTAGCTATAACTTAGACATATTGTAGTATTCCTTGTTAATAAATATTCCAACACCACGCATATCTAAAGAATAAAAATAGCAGTAGAGGTAGTTTGTAGTAGTTTGTAGGACTTTGTGTGACTATATAAGTTTTAGCGGCAAGTCTTCAATGTTATCATCATCATCAACAATATATGAATGAAATGTCTGAGCCATCAAAGCTCAGAAACACTTGCGCTCACACATCGCCTCTCCTCACAGGCCAGAGTGAGTACGGTCGAAAAACACTGAAGTGGGTTACAGACTTCCTCCTTAAGTGCCACACAGGACCCTACGAATTCTATGGTCAGGTAGGATTCAAATTCCTTTCTCCCTTTTTTTTGCGAGATATCGAAGTGTCGTGCAGTGTTTATGTTTAAAAGTAACATGTGAATTATTTTTTTTATCATTGATTATTCCTCCCTCAGGTTGGTGACGGCCACATCGATCACAAGTTCTGGGGTCGCCCTGAGGAGATGACTATGGAGAGGCCTTCCTTTAAGATCGACTACGACCACCCAGGTGAGTGGGGGTCACCAGGTCACAGCTTTAAGTTGTTTGATACCTGTTATCTGACAGAATCAAGTCACTGTCTTAAGCTTATTCAGATAAATATACTAGATTTTTACACCCAAACGGACTAAATGTGACCCAGGTTAAATAAAGAAAGCTTTTTTTACTTTAGTTGATTCTCGAATTAACCCGAGACTATTCTTCCTTCCAGGTACTGAGCTGGTTGGTGAGGCTGCCGCTGCCCTCGCTGCCGCTTCTATAGTCTTCAAGGTAAACTATGCAATCATAATTTATATTTCAAGGAAATTTAAGTTGTTAAGGTAAAGAGGCGAACACTGGGATGGGGAGGAAGACTAGGTGTTATGAATCACTCTCCTGCGATTTCTACTAGGCGTATCATGGCGGGATGGAAGGGAACCCCAGGCGCTCGTGTTTTCATGGCACTAGTCTCTCTCCTGCAGGAAGATGACCCAGCGTACTCGGAGGAGGTGTTAGCGGCGGCCAAGGAACTGTACAACTTCGGTGACGAGAGACGAGATTACTACCACAACTCTATACCAGAGGTCCTCGACTTTTATAAGTGAGTAATGTGGTCCAGGTCACTACCCCTACACCCCAGGTCACTAACACTATCGCCTACCCCTACACCCCAGGTCACTAACACCCCTTCCCCTCCCCAGGTCATGGAGTGGGTACGGGGACGAGCTAGCCTGGGGTGCCCTCTGGCTGTATCGTGCTACCAATGACGAGTTCTATCTGGAAAGAGCCAAGGATCACTGGGTGGAGTTCAACCTCGAGGAGATGCCTCGAGAGTTCTCTTGGGACTACAAGATGCTTGGTGTCTATGTGAGTCACTTGAGCATCATTGTTTGTGTGTCTTTATCGCAATAAGAGTTGAATAATTCCCGTTACGGTAATTAGAGGTTTGATGAGTATAATGGAAGGTCTATATGAGTTCCCTCTACGGCACTTTCCTCCTTCCCTCTCTCTACCCATTCCATATCTCCTTCCTTCCCTCCTGCACAATCCCCTACCCTCCTCCGCCACCTCCTTCCCTCTTTCCTATACCACCTCCATCTCTCCTAAATCCTTTCCTCCTACACCACTTCCCTCTTTCCTCACTCCCTCCCTCCTACATCACCTCCTTCCCTCCTATACCACCTCCTTCCCTCCCCCCTCCTCACTCTCTCCCTCTCTCTTGCAGGCGCTCTTCACTATGCTGGACGAGGACCCAGTCTATAAGGACACCCTGGTCGAAGCCCTTAACCACTTCCAGAAAGACTTCCCTTATACCCCCGGAGGTCTTGACTTCATCCAGTTCTGGGGGTCCAACAGACACGCTGCCAACGTCGCTTATGTTGCTCTCGTGGTAATGTGTAATGTGGGCTTTATTGCACCACCTTAGTTCATGTTTGTTATGCCGAGACAGTCATGTATATTGTAGGGGATAAACCTTAGATTATGTCTCGTATGTCATCCATATATAAAAGACTCCCTCTCTGTCTCCATCTTTGTATTCATGTCTCTCACACCCTTCTCCCTCTTACACCCCTCTCTCTTTTTTATTCTCTGCCCTGTCTCTCACATTCTTAGCTGTCTATTCATACTCTCTCCTGTCTCTCACAATCTCCCTTCTCCTCCTCTCACCTAGGCGTCCAAGTTGGGCATAGACGCAGACGCCAACCGAGAGTGGGCGGCCAGCCAGATCGACTACATGTTGGGCTCCACCGGTCGCTCCTTCGTCGTGGGTTACGGCCCAGAGGCACCTGAACGTGTCCACCATGCCGCCGCGTGAGTCTAGCGTCGTCTTGGGTGATAATACTAATTGTTTAGGATCACCTGAAGATTTTTAGAAACTCCAGTTTACTTCACCCGATGACTTAAACACCCCAACGTTACCTGAGGGAGGGGTAGGGGGGTTAGGTTAGGTTTGGTTCAGTTACATCATGTTACGTTAGTTTAGGCTAGGTTAGATTAGGTGGGGTGCCTAATCTTCAAGTGATCCAAGCGACCAAAGTACAATGGAAAGTTATGTATCAGGATTTCTTTTAATAAACATACCTGAGGTGGATCGATGTTTGGGTTTCCTCAGATCGTGCCCCGACCTGCCAGAGGTGTGTGACCCTGACTGGGCGATGAAGCAGCCAGGACCTAACCCCCAGACTGTATGGGGCGCGCTGGCTGGTGGACCGGACAAGGTGAGACAAAACATTCACCTTCCTACTCCTCAATTCCTCGTATACTGTATTGATTTTTTCCACCATAACTGGAGACAAGGAGAACGTAGCTTCATTTCGTCACCATTTTGATCTCTCTGTATTATTATTATTACGACCATCTACAGGACGGAAACTTCGTGGACGACCGTGAGGACTACGTACACAACGAGGTGGCCATTGATTACAACGCTGGGTACACCCCCTCCCTCGCTGGTCTCATCGAGCTCACTCCTTGAGAAAAGTTATAATCGTATTTTTATCTAAGTTAAAAGACATAATGGTACTCTTCTGTTAAGTTAAAAGCCTTAATCATTTTTTTATCCCTTGTAAAAAGCCATAATCGAGCTCTTACACCAATCGATCGTATTTCACTCACATTATTATCGTACACATTAAACAATACAATATCACACACCACATAACGATATTTACTTCCCAAAATGAAAGTTCCTTCGTGGATTTCTTTGGTAAACGTAAAAATATAGAATTTAAGACTACACCCTCAATAATTACAAACATAATCTATCATTCTTTTCTTAATATTACAAAAACCGTCCGTTGTTGTCCCTCCGTCATCCACCAATGTCGTGTTGTTGACATTCTCAGACGGGAAAGAAATCATTTAATAATATCGGTTGTTTTGATATAATTATATATCTTGTATATTTATATTAATTTAAAAAGTCATGTGGCATTTAGAGATAAGTTGAATAAAGGCAATTAACACTAGTTCATATTAGTATTAATATTATTATTATTAATATTATTATTATTACTAGTATTATTATTATTATTATTATTATTATTATTATTAACAGTCAGACTAATTCTCTGGCTAAGAGCAAAAACGGCCAATGTCAACATATGCCAATTTAGACTTTGGCCCTTGAAACCCAGGCTTTATGGGCCTATGTCTAAATTGGCATTTTTTCTGGCCCTTTTTGCACTCAACCAGTGAATTAATAATAATCCTTGAGAACTACGAATCTATGCTCACGTGAAGTAGATCTCAAGGATGAAGAATAGATGTTACTTAGGAGATGGTTTCAGGTGTGTTTGTGTGTGTGTGACACGAACTCTCCACTGTTCTATCACCACCTGGGATATTACTGTTACTGGTAGTGGTGGTTGTTGTGGTAGTGGTGGTTGTTGTGGTAGTGATGGTTGTTGTGGTAGTGGTGGTTGTTGTGGTAGTGGTGGTTGTTGTGGTAGTGGTGAATGTTGTAGTGGTGGTGGTTGTGGTAGTGGTGGTTGTTGTGGTAGTGGTGGTGGTTGTGGTAGTGGTGGATGTTGTAGTGGTGGTGGTTGTGGTAGCGGTGAGTAAAGACGACAGTGGCTCAGGTGCTGATAGTGGTTAGCTGCAGTGGTTGTGGTGGTGGTCCTGGTCACAGTGTTGGTAGCCCTGGTGGTAGTATTGTTAGCCCTGATAATAGTGATGATAGTCCTGGTGGTAGTGTTGGTAGCCTTGATAATAGTGATGAATGTGATGATAGTCCTGGTATTAGTGTTGGTAGTCCTGGTATTAGTGTTGGTAGCCCTGATAATAGTGATGATAGTCCTGGTATTAGTGTTGGTAGTCCTGATAAGTTGGTAGCCATGGTAATAGTGTTGTTAGCCCTGATAATAGTGTTGATAGTCCTGGTGGTAGTGTTGGTAGCCCTGATAATAGTGATGATAGCCCTGGTATTAGTGTTGGTAGCCCTGGTATTAGAGTTGGTAACCCTGGTATTAGAGTTGGTAACCCTGGTATTAGTGTTGGTAACCCTGGTATTAGTGTTGGTAGCCCTGGTGATAGTGTTGGTAGCGCTGGTATTAGTGCTGGTAGCCCTGGTGATAGTGTTGGTAGCCCTGGTATTAGTGTTGGTAGCCCTGGTATTAGTGATGGTAGCCCTGGTGATAGTGTTGTCAACCACCTTACAGAGGATATTCCGGGTGCTCTGTCATTCTGCAACAGAGAGAAAAATAAAATAAAAATAAAAAAAAACACCTAACTTACCTGACGATAAACAAACAAACAAGTAAACATTAATTCACACCTTTAACGGTCTAATAACCCAATCGGAACCACCTAACGTAACCTAACCTGTCTTTAGGTGGTCGTCTCTAAAGGCAGTCTTATCATAAACAGATCAATAGACAGATAACGAGAATAATATGGATAAACAGAATAAAAGAGACAGCAAGACATATAGTGTATGTAGATAAACAGAAAGATAAAAAGTGAGAGAAAAACAGACGGAGAGACAGACAGAAACAGACAGATAGAAAACGAACGTGAAAACTAGAAGAAACCAGAACCGAAGAATTCAACTCACCCTGAACCAACGAAAACAAAGCTCCGACCAGATTCTCCTTTGTCTAATGTCGTCAGAGCTTCCATCTCCAGCTCCGACAAACTGAAGCTCCACAACTGACAGAGAAAGTTAAAGGTGACTGATTTACAGGTGTGTGAAGTGATTGGTAAGTGACTGGAGGAAATTACAGGTGTGTACATTGATTGGTAGATGATTGGAGGAATTTACAGGTGTGTGAAGTGATTGGTAGACGATTGGAGAAATTTACAGGTGTGTGAAGTGATTGGTAGATGATTGAAGTAAGTTACAGGTGTGTACAGTGATTGGAAAGAGTTACAGGTGTGTGATGTGATTGGAAAGAGTTGCAGGTGTGTGAAGTGATTGGGAAATGATTAGAAAGAGTTACAGGTATGAGCAGATGTGTATAAGTTGGTCACCCTACACCTGAAAGTAACTGGGAGTGGTATTAGAGGTATGATTGGTTAGGGTTACAGGTGTGTGAATGTGGTGCTTCTCTACACCTGAGGGCAATTAGAAGGTGACCGACAAACGCTATAGGTGTAAGGAAATAATTACGGAGCGTGTCGTATCGTAACTTAGAAAATAACTTAAAATACGTATTGTAGCTTTAAATATAACTTACAATACTTATCATAGCTTAGAAAATAACTGAAAATACGTATTGTAGCTTTAAATACAACTTACAATACTTCTCATAGCTTAGAAAATAACTTAAATACATAACTTGAGAAAAATAAACTTGTACAATATAGTAAGTTCAACATAACTCACATCTCCATTCGTTTTGATACGCTCGGGGTTCACAGACTTAGGGATGACGATGATGTTTTGTTGTACCAGGAATCTGAGTAGGACCTGAGCAGTGGTGATCCCATGACGCTCTGCTACCAACCTCACCACTGGGTCTTCCAACAAGCGGGGTGATGGCAGGGTTCTGGGTGGTATTGAGAGAGTCAGTAGTACCTTATTTGGCTGTCTGTCTGTATATACGTGTGTATATGATTGTGTGTCTGTCTATTCCTCTGTCTGTCTGTCTGTCACTTATGGATACTAACTTCACCACAAAGACCTCTATTTTGATGATGATGATGATGATGATGAATGAGATATACAATAGTATACCCCGTTGACTGTCTATTTGTCTGTTAATTTCTCTGTCTATCTGTCTCTTTGTCGTATGTCCATCCTTTTCAAAAACCTGTCATTACAGAAAAAAAAAGTTAATCCAATTGCAGAGTTTTTTATTCTCTTCTGACATTAACTTAGTGATTATATTGTAGTTCAGTAGACAGGGAAGACACGTACTGACTCATATCACTTCAAGGAGGACACATAGTGAGTCATATCCCTTCATGGAGGACACATACTGAGTCATATTCCTTCATGGACACATAGTGAGTCATATCCCTTCATGGAGGACACATACTGAGTCATATTCCTTCATGGAGGAGGATACGTACAGGTTTGAGCGGTTAGTGACCCCAGGGGCCATACGCCGTCAGGAAGATGTTGTGGGTCTTACAGAACTCCTGCATCTGACGCTGTTGAAGTATACATGCAACTCCACCTGTGAACGAATGGCAGTGTGTTAATGCAGGTGAGGGGCTGTTAGGGGAGGAGGGGGGGCTGATAGAGAGGGAGGGGCTGATAGAGAGGGAGGGGCTGATAGGGAGGGGGGCTGTTAGGAGGGAGGGGGCTGATAGGAGAGGGAAGGGGCTGATAGAGAGGGAAGGGGGCTGATAGGGATGGGGGCTCCTTTTTTGTATTTTAAAGGGAGTTGAAGTACATTTAAAATGATGGGGGGTTATTTAGTACAGTACATTTAAGGGAGATTTTTAGTACATTCTGGGAGTTTTTTTCGTATATGTAAGGATGACCAGAGTACATATTTGTGGTTTTAGTACATTTAAAGGAAGGAAGTTAGTACATTTTGGGGAGTTGTTTTTGTGTATGTTTGAGTACATATTTGTTTTTGTTTTTTGTACATCATAAGGTACAGTACATGGGATGGATGTTTAGACTATATAATACGATAATAATGCAATTATTAAACGTAAACAAATTTTACATAATACAAAACAAATGAAGGAAGATAATTTTAACGTTTCTAATCTCACTTTCACCCACCTGATTAACGACTGGTTTTATTTTGGATATAGCACATGTCTTCCGTATCTGTTTGATGCTATAATTGGACACGCCTATCGATTTGGTCAGCCCCATGTCCACCAATTTCTCCATCTCCTATGGGTGTGTTGAGAAATAGGTTTATAAATTCACAAAATATGTTAATTTAAAGATATCGTGATATAATTGGTCCTAATGTGTTTTAAATCTGATATAATGTGAAGGTTAAATATAATCTAACTCTAAATTTAACTTGATATTAACTTATAATTTAACATGATGAAATTGTTATTAAACTTTTAATATAAATATGATTTGAATTTAACATGATTAACCAAAAAGTTTAAATGATAAAAAACCTAATATTGGTTTGAAACTTAACAGGATATTAACGTGATAGGAACTTTTAACATGATGTAATGTAATAGGAATTTTAACAGTAACCTATTATCTGATCTTAAAATTAACTTGATAAAAATATGGTTTAAATTAACATGATGTCCTTGCGCAACATAGTGGTCTAAACAGGAACAGTATGACCCATGAACCCAACAGGAACAAACAGTGTGACCCATGAAACCCATCAAGAACAAACAGTGTGGCCCATGAAACCCAATCAGTGTGACCCATGAACCCAACAGGAACAGTGTGACCCATGAAACCCAACAGGAACAAACAGTGTGACCCATGAAACCCAACAGGAACAAACGGTATGACCCATGAAACCCATCAAGAACAAACAGTATGACCCATGAGATCCAGCAGGTAACAAGAGGTATGACCGGTTAATGACTATACTCACCTGTAGACTACATGTAATGAACTCACCTTCCAGATAGCTATGAGATCAGTTCCTTCGTCTATATCAAACTGGCCATCGTCCCTCTTCGCCAAAATATCTAAGTCATGTTTACTCTGAAGGAAACATGTAATGGGTGAATTAATGATATTTTGTAGAGTCAGTCAGTCAGTCAGTCAGTCAGTCAGGAAGAGTCAGTCAGTCAATCAGGGAGGGTCAGTCAGTCAATTAGAGAGAGTCGGGGATTCAGTTAGTCAATTAGGGAGGGTCAGTTAATCACGGGGAGTCAATCAGCCAGTCAGTCAGTCAGTTAGGGAGGGTCAGTCAGTCAGTCAGGGAGAGTCAGTCAGTCAGGGAGGGTCAGTCAGCCAATTAGGGAGAGTCAGGACGTCAGTTAGTCAATTAGGGAGGGTTAGTTAATCAGGGAGAGTCAGGCGAGCAGGGAGACTCAGACAAGCAGGGAGTTAGTTAATCAGGGTGAGTCAATTAATCAGGGAGTCAGTCAGTCAGTCAGTCAGTCAGTCAGGAAAAATCAATCAATCAATCAGGGCCAATCAGTCAAGGAATAATACTTTGAATATTATAAGAAATATATAAATCAATACTTCACTTCTACATAACATCTTGACCTGCATTGCATAGGTAATATTAGTAATTGTATACCTACGCTGCATATATACCTGCCTTGTCTATGTGCACGTTCAAATGTATACCTGCACTGTCATATACTGTACAGAGTGAACCAATTGTAAACCTCTATAATGATTTTACTGAACATATAATTATCTACAAAAAACAGTCACTCAGCAACGTGTATGTGTGTGTGAGTGTGTACCCCTACCTTCAGGCCAACCGGGAGGTGGACGAGGTAGAGGTCAACGTAGTCCAGCTTGAGCGCCTTTAGGGATTTCTGCAGAAACTTGTGTACCCCTTCTGCTGACATCCCGTGTGGGGGTAACTGTGAAGTAAATATGAATCACACCTTTATGCAGTCACGTCGAGATAAAAAGATCTCTAAAAACAGTTTAAAAAAATAAAAAGATTTCTTAGATTACAGTTACTATTGTCGGGTTATATAAAAAATGAAAGACAATTAATATATGTTATGTTACACCCATTGGTCTCTCGTGAAACCTTGTGAAAACATCAGAATATTTTTCAATTGTCATGTAAGATGATGTAACTAAAAAAAAAATAGTATTCATTATCCTGTAACTAAAACACTATGTACAGAGTGACTGGAGAGCTGCTCATGTTATTCTTAGTATTGAGTAGTTAATGGGTAACTCCACGGTACCCCTTGGCAGGATGCTGCTCCACCGAGGGGCTTTCCACTATCGGTAAGAACTCCCGATAGTGTACAGTATCTACTTAATACTTTACTTTAGTTTATCCTCTTCGCCACTAATCGGCCTGTTAACCGTTTGGGAGGTTGGTCACATCTGTTATGCACTATTGGCAAGTACTGGGCATGCACTGGCTCCTCAATGTAGCTATACATGCATCAGTGTTGGTCAAATCAAGTTGGTGTCATCACAACAATTTGTGAGCACACAAGGGATAGTGCAAAGTCTAATTAAACCAAGTCAACCCATGCGCAGGAGGCGGAGCTAATTATGTGACATCATTGGCCCATAGTGGAAGGAAACGTTAGAAAGGGAGGACTCATATAATATCCTCAGTGAGACCACCCCACTGTATTAGAAGATATTCTTTCCATATTTCTTGATTTTTTCATCCGCTAGCACACTATCTTTCAGTTAGCCACTTAAACTTCTCATGTAATCAGGACGTCATGTGCGGCAAAGGACGAATTTTCGACTCGAAGTGGGTCTAACTTAGTATAATTAGACTCTGGGATAGTGTACAGAGTGATGAACCCCATCCTCCACCCCAGTCGAGAACCGAAGACAATGAACACGAGGTTACTGAAAACTAAACTGAGAGAGAGAGAGAGCAAAAACTAATCAAGATCAAAAAGAGCATCAGTAGCCTACCTTGGTGACGACAAAGACTTCACTCCTCTTGTTGCCTGTCTTGTTCAGCCATTGGTGGAGCCCCACTCCTACCGCCTCCTCGTTTAGGTACACAAAGGCAGTGTCGATGTGGCGGTACCCTGCATCGAGTGCTGTTTCCACCGCCGCCTCCACCTCCCCTGCTGGTGACTGTATCAGAAAGAGTTATTGCTGTATTTATAAAGAGAATGTGAGAGATGAAAGCTTCAAACAATTCAGAGATAAAACAAATATACTGATAACCTACTTGAAGACGGGCAAATACGGAGAAGAAGGAACACTGAACAAGCAAAAGAAACTAAAAATATGTTATCAATGCCCAAAACAATAAGTCTCAATAATATCTATATGTACCCCTGTACAATAATTTTAGAAGCGGTAAATTATGAAATTATTTAACTGATAAAACTAATTTAATCATTACAATGAAACAGAACTGACCAACCACCCGAATAGCTAGTATGCTAGTAAGTGGTGAAATGATAAAATGCGGACTAATTATATTAATGATAGTACACACATCTGGCTAATTATTTTCCTAAAGCTGTCAGGGGCGGATCCAGGGGGGTCCTGGGGGTCCTGACCCACTTCACATCAGAAATTAGCAATACTTTTTCTTTATTGCAGTATTCTACTCAGACGTTTGTGTAGAATAAAAAGTAATTACTATTGACCTCAGAATATCTCCTAATATCAAGTGCACATGGCCTCAAAATGCCCATGATATTGGTCAGATTTAAAAAACAAATTCTGGACCCCCCCCCCCCTCCGGAATTAAAAAACAGATGGGTGGGCTCGTTGTGCTCGCCATGTTCCCCCACCCACAACTTCTTGGATCCCCCTTTTGAGATTCGTGGATCAGCCCCTGGCTGTGGTTTTAAACCTATTTTGGTCAGTGTGTGAGATGTCATATAACCCCTCTCAATAATGACTCAGTCATTTCTGTTTCTTTAATCAACTCTGTGTATCATCAGAAGATAAATATGGCATACCGTATTCTGTATATGCAAAATACTGTATACCTTTGGTTCCTCAAAATGTATCTGACGTACCCCCTTGATGAGGCGTCATGTACCCCATCCTGATCCCCTAACCTACAGACACACAAAGAAAACTAGAAATACACTAACTATTGTACCTACAAAAATAAATAAATAATACAACAATATTTACATGATGTACAATAATAATATAAGTGGTAAATTCAGCGTGACATTCTAGGCGCGGTACGCTAGCCAAGCACGAGCGTTCAAACTTTCACTGGGCACGAAGGTACCCGCGATCACTTGTAGCTTACTAAGCGAGATGGAGCTGGTAGCAGCTGTGACTGTCTGAGGGGCAGACTATCCCCTTCTACTGTAGAGGCAACATCATGATTCTCGTCAGCCAACATCTTCCTGCAGGACATTATATTTGTTCTCGTTGGTCTAACCCTAGACCCCAAAACGTGAGTGTGATTGTGAACTGTTGAATCCTCTGAGAACTCTAAATAACTTTAATAAGTGTAATTATGTACTGTATATTGATCATATTATTCAAACTGTGTCCTGATGTACCGGCAGTTGCTATATGTGAATTGTATTCTACAGGTTTTGACCGAATTATACTCATCGCGTCAACGACAAGGGTCTTATTGTCCTGCACAAACCAAAATCGCTTCCAATGAGCAATTACACACAGCATGACGCAGCCGATAGGTTTATCTGTTATTGTTTTGACTTCCTTAACGTGTGAACAGAACATTTATTTGGGCTAGGCGGTGTCTGTTCACATTCTAAGATAACATTATCAGTGAGTTACTTTATCCTCTTCGATAAAGTCGCGGTGTCAAAGGCCTACCTGAAATATTTAACAAGATTTTTTTGTTTGAAATAAGACGAAGATATTTCAACTGTCAGATAAATATGTGGTTAAATATTAAATTAATAGCTAGTGGTGGTGAGCGCTGGCTGGAACAATGATGTTAAATTTATCCTTGGAAGAGTTAAGGTCCGTCATATTTGGATGTGGTCAACTCTCCTGCCTGTTTGTATAGGATGAGCACCACTGTGGCTCATTGTTGTATGCCACAGAGTTTTCTTAAGAGCTTTATTCTATGACTTAGCTACTTGTGGTCATGAATGTTTTCTAACGTTCCAACACAACGTCGAGAATGAAGTACTGCAGTTAGAAGGCCGAGATGATTATAAACAAACCGCAGTATGTATCCTAAAATTTGTGTATATAAATATAACTATGTGAAGATTAAAACAGCAAAAAACGGCGACCAAATTGTTTCCAAACACGAAGCCTGTGAGCGTGAGGTAGGAAACGGACGAAGAATGACACAACACAAACGTGATAATAGCCTCGCCTCGCGTTAGAGTACAGATTACAGACCTTCCTGACAAGTCTCTGAGGCGGAGGATGGAATATTATAGTCTATATGTTACCGGCAAAGTGTGAAAATCAGGCATAGTATGAAACGCCTAGCATTCTATACACTGTCTATATTCTAGGCTCTAGAATAACCTAAGGTTATATTAGGTTAAGTTACGAGAAAAACATATATAAATAGCCCTCTTTTCACACATTGTTGATTTTGCCAATAAACAACAATGCGTACGAACATTTATCCTATTAATGCTTTGCCTAAGTACATTTACGCATTTTATATAATCCTTGGGAACTGTATAGAATCCTTAGGTAAATTACAAAAGATCAAAGTAAAAGCTTATTTCATACTTTGCCTAAAAGTTTCGAGGCATTGTATAGAATGCCTAGGCATTTCATACAATGACTGATTTTCACCCTGCCCGTAACATATATACTGTACGTATCTCGCAGTTTTCATGGTAAACTAAACATCAGCATCTCGTGACAGTTGTTAAATATGACTATACCAGCAAAAGCGAATCTCAGTAGTCACACCACCACACTCTGACCTTCCGCTAACCATACACACGGTCTTCCTGGCGATATTAATTGAAAATTAACGATATGACTTTCTGGTCTCGAAAAAAAATTACTTTAGAGGGGAATCAACCTACAAATTCGGTTAAAATTGAATTAGATGTGTGAGAGGTAAATTGAGTTTTGACGAAGATATGAAACACAATGGTAAATTATATGAACATGTAGCAACTTTTCTGTTGTTTTCATGTGATAATAATAATGAAAAAGCTGCTCTATTTTTGTATATATATAATATAAAATGGTCTATAATTTGTTTTTCATCATCACATGGATGTTGGAGGAGACTAGCGCGACTCACCTGCCAGCAACCGAGGCCCAGCAGAGGCATCCGGTGGCCTGAGTTCAACAACACCTTCTTGACAGACATCTTCCTGACCAACACGGAGAGAAAAACAAATGGTAAGTAAACAAGCCAGCATAATGACAATCTATTTCACACATCATCCATGGAATCACGAATCCTGACATCTTCCTGGCAAACATAAAATTATTTTAGGCAAGTTTCCCAGCTTGTTCAGGAAGACGAAGATGGTTTTCTTAACCCTGATAACACAGACTTCCTTAACAATAGTCTTGGTATATTTTTCCATTGTTCAACATACAGTATGTACTGAGTTAAGTGCAACCATATTAATACATATCATACGCTAATAAAGTCAACTAGCTGATAATTATGAGCTACAAAGATTATTCCATCGCTAAGGTAAAAAAGTAAGGTCAAGTAATTATTTTATTGTCATTGGTTCTGCATCTGGTTGTGTGTTCCTTTTTTCAATCTCAAATTAGAAAATAAAAATCTATTACAATAAATCTGGGAGATAACAAGACCCCGGGCAGAGGATGAAGACAACGGCAGACTCTTAACATGGTTTACCTTTAACATGGTTTACCTAAACCTGCTTTCTCGTTTTATTCCCGTTAAGCTTACTTGTCAGAGCATCAAGAGCAACAACGGCTGCTTACCAGAAGGTGTAAGGGGGTTGGGGAAGAGGGGAAGGGAGTTTTAAGGTAAAGTTTTCACCCTCCCTGGCATGGTGTGGTCTTATAAGAGTGGGGATTACCATGCCTCCCTTCCTTCCCCTCGGGGGAAAAACCAGAGAAAACTTTTAATTAACAGCTTAAATCTTTATTAACAACACCCCCCCTGTCATTTGTCATTCCTCAAGCTTCAGGTCTACTAGACCATGAGAGAAATGAGATCCCCAGCAGCCTAGGCCTTAGGCACCTGGCAGGAGTACCTCTCGACGGCCCAGCCTTATCATCACACTCCAGTGAGAGACGCCTGCCACCTCACGCTGACAGGGCCCCTGACCCCCTCCGCGGATAAGGTGTTTCAGGCGACTTGTCATGATTTTTTCATTTGGCTCATAATGAGTCGGGGTTATTAGTTTCTATAACACAGCATGTGGACATATTAGAAGTTTGGTCTATCCTAACACGTCTGTGTTAATGTTTGCCTTGTTATAAACTAGGCGAGATACTCGCTCCAAAAAGTATCTTTATGGGGGTGGGTGGGGGGGTGGGTGGTGGAGTCCGATGACTCTTGTTAGAGTTGTCAAAATCCTTCGTCCGTTGTGTCATAGTTTTTGGACCGAGTTCACACGAAACAATTTCAAGGAATTCACCTACCAGAAATTTTAGTGAATGTTATTAAGTCTTACTGTAATGTGCACAAAAGATTGCACAAGTCATGTGAAGACCCACATGACGTGAATCTTACTAAGAAATCCTTTAATTAATCCACCGTGGCCCGAGGCTGTCCCCGGTCGACTTTCTGGGTTTTCTTTTAATTCATTACACCTTGAGAGCGACAGACTCAGTAGAAGAGTAAAATTATTTCTTTTTTTTTTACAAGACCAACTTTTTAGTTTAAGAATTGTCTTGTGGACGGAGTAACCCTGGCAGTTAAAGCGTCCTAAACATAAACAAGATTCAACTGCATATCTTAACCCCTTGTGTACGAGGGTCTCTCTGTGCTGAATAAAATCGACTGGCGTTACCCAAATAAAATAATAAACGTGGCGTTCCCGTACTGAAGGGGTTAAGCATCTGTCGTTCAATTCATTAAGTAATCTCTAATAACAATTGCAATCTGAAGGTAAAGTGCACCAATGAAATAAAAGAAATAAATTTCAGTATTAGACGAAGGGAATTATATCCAGTCATTTTTATGATTGACTACGATCTACACTATACTGAAAACAGTAGTCAAATAAAATACAACTCTTTGCATCGCCAAAAATACATTACAACAATTAAATTAATGTGGAAATTATATAAAAAAAAATAGCATGAAAATACAGAGTAACACTTACCCAAGAGAAGTGGTGGAGGAGCAAATGAGAATACAACCTACTGTACACGGCCACAACCTTCAAACTGGCCGGTCAAGCGCCTTAAGAGCCGTCCACTCGTCGCCCTTACCACGGACGGGCCCAGCACTATATAAAATTTTCAGGCAAAACATACCAACTAAACATAACTTAGAATTAATGTATTACCGGTACTTTTCATTTATTTGTTATTAATAGTTGGTTCGTGTAGACAGCTTAAAGAATAAATGAAAAAAAATAGTTAATAATGAGGTGGTGCTCGCCTCGCACTACTGTGGTTGCTGGTTCAAATCCTTAGATGTGAGAAATTCCTGATGTAACCTTACCAAATATCGCAGATTTTCTTTGGGTACCTCGATTTCTTCCTATATTAGCACTAGATATTAACGATTGCAACCAACAAAAGAACGACCAACTGGACGTTTAATAAGCTGATAAGTGGTGGAAAATTATAAATTAATCGTGTCTCGCAGCCGTCCTTGTAAATATTTCAGCGTGGAAAGGGGAGCACTCATACGACCACTACTGACATACGCACCCAACACACTACAGTTAGCTGTAGGTGATTAAAGTAACTAATCTAGTAGGTCTTATAAGAAGTTCGTTCAGATATTAAAACGGTCCGTCCCTCGTAACAATCTTCAAGAGTGAAGTGCTTCCCCGTCTGAACTACTGTCACCCTATCTGGTCCCCGAGATGTGCTAGGGACTGTCAGTTGATTGAAAATGTCCAAAGGAGGGCCACCAGACTGGTGCCTGCACTACAGCACCTCAGCTATCCAGAGAGATTAGAGCGCCTGCATCTGCCTAGCTTACAGTACTGTATACTACAGACGAGCAAGGTGTAACCTAATCGAGGTGTATAAACATCTCAGAGGGCACTACTCAGTCGAGTGTCCATACTTGGAGCTAGCAGACGCCCTCCCCACAAGGGGTAGCAGCTCAAGGTTGATTAAGCCACAAGTCCAGAAAACTGTGAGAGCAAGCTTTTTCAGAGTGAGAATTGTGAACTCTTGGAATAATCTGCCAGAGTATGTTGCGATAGCACCGAGTGTGAGCTGTTTCAAGACCAGACTTGACCAACACTAGAGCAGGTTCAGATACATTCAGGAGCCGGTGCATGCCCAGTATTTGCCAACAGTGCGTAACACAGACGTGACCGATCGCCCAAGTGGCTAACGAGCCGATCAATGGTGAAGATGATAAAAGTAAAAGTAAAATACAGTATTTATATACTGTATATATTTTTAATAGGATCATTTGAATAATCTCTACCCTAACTTATTCCACCTTAAGATTAACCATCCTAATGCTAATCTAACCTCATTCCCCAAATAATTTTAGGGTTGGCTAATCTTTAAGTGAAATAAGCTGGGATGGAGATTCATCAAGTGATCCCTTTAATGAAATGTAATAGTTGGTTTGACCTATTAGCTACATTCGGTTCTCCAGCCTGCTGTTTTTGTACCAGTTACTTTTACTTTACTTTTATTCTCTTCACTACTGACCGGCTCAGGTACTACAATAACCTTGAGGTGTGACCCCTTGTGGGGCGTGCAGCCAGCTCCAGGTATGGACACTCGACCGAGTAGTGCCCTCTGAAATGTATATAAACTTCAATTTGGTCACCCCATGCCCGTCTGTAATATAAGTTAGGCAGTTGCAGGCATTCTTATCTCTGTGTCGCTGTGATGCTGGTAGGGCAGGCACCGGTCTGGTGGCTCTCCTTTGGATATTTTCAATCAACTGACAGTCTCTAGCATATCTCGGGGACCAGATGGGGTGACAGTACTCCAGAGGAAGAAGCACCTCACTTTTGAAGAGCGTTATGAGGGACAGACTGTCTAAATATATGAACGACCTTCTTATAAAACCTACTAGTTAGTTTAGTTGCTCGATTCACTACCTCCTCTCCCGCCCAAAACAATACTGTCATTTAGTCTTGGGGGATACATTATTTCAACTGACCCCAACTTTCTCAATTCTGCCTTTCTCTTGTTTGTCTCATTATTTACCAGGATATATGCACACTCATCTATTCTATCCAATCTACTTTGGAGTTTTTACTGCTGTATTTTATTACTTTCTTTTTCATCCTTGGTGATATGAGGTGCTCAGCATTACAAGGGGGGTAAAGCGCCACCCCGGGCAAAATGCGTTTTTTTATGGATATCACTATTTTCACCCTTCCTCCACATGTTGGCGTTGATTGTAACCCTTTAGGTAGACTAGAAATATGGTTGAAAGTCCTTCAAAAATAGGGTCTCATTTCGCCTCAGGCTGTGTGCTCAGTAAGTAAAGGTGGTCACATCCTGTTCAGAGTGAGAGGAGCGATTTTTGGAGACGGCAGAGAAAGACTTTGAACAGTACATGATTGATCATGACGAGGCCAATAAAGTTATACGCACTCCTCAAGATTTACGCAACTTATACTTACTACAATCTTCATGGATAATAAATCGATGGAACTAAAAGATTGCAATACTATTATCATTAAATAATGTAAGACATGTATCTGGTGTGGGTTATGTCTGCTGGGGAAGGAGGTACAGTGAAATGTTGTGAGCTTCCCTCTGCCGTTAAGCCAATGTAAGCCATTATCTACATCTTCGGCAAATTTGCCGTAAGTTTGTGATATTAAGGCTTGTTTTTCAGTATTTTATTATTAATATTATTAATAACACAATTTTTATGTTTAGTGGACTATTGCTCGTCCCAGACTCCCTAGCTAGGCACCTCTGCGTAGGCGCTCGGCCTCCCATCTGTAATACGGGCGCATGAGATGCGGGGTTATTTATAATAATAATAATAATAATAATAAAATGAAAATGCGTCTTGTATGCCGGCAAATGCGGTATATATTGACTACCTTTATACAGCATACATTATTTGTGTAATTTCCCTTTTATTTAATTTTTTTATTTAATAAACAACAAAGTACATATCAGTATGTTTTCTGTACCGGCATCTCTGAGGATCTTATGATGAACATAGATAAGGTAAAATAAAAATCGAAAAGTAAACTTTAATAAAAATACTGTATTAATATGTATTACACGTGATTATTGTACATTTTCTTTCAAAACACATTACGGTAAATATCACTGTATCATTCCCTTCATAATAATGACTTGTCCAGTAAACAAAACAACTTAACAAAAACTAAAAGAATCCATAACCACAGTAAAGAAGCAAATTTCTGTTTTCTGATGAATGTCAGTTTTGACCTGATGATCAAGTTGTCTCAGAGAAAAAATGACTGATATGCAACATTAAATCATAGGTAGACTTTCTGAATCTTCAAGCTTAGGCAAACCAGTTGTTAAACCTGAGATTCACATAGTGTTAAGTGTAGAAGTGTTTATACTGCACGTGTGAAACCAAATCTAAAACAGCTATTTTTTTTGTCTTGTTACTAATATACAGCATTCTGTCCATGTAGAAACTGAGAAATAACAGAGTTGCAATTTATTAAACAAGCAAAACAAAGGAAAGTCTTTTTGTTTTGTTTTTAGACAAAAATTTAATAACTTCTGGAATAAATCATTAATCTCTGCACGGTTTCCAAATAAACAGATGAGCAAATATTCTCTACTGCGTCTATCCCATATCAGAAGCCAGTTGATAAGACACCTGCTGACACACATCAGATCTTTAATTTATATTCTCCAAAGGATTTATGTTTACCACAATATGTGACAGTGTCATATTGTGAATATTATCAACAACAATACCAATGAGTGTCATACAGTCAACACACTAGCAAGTACTCAATAACAATCATAAATGTATCAACAGGTTGGCAGTTGTATTGGTCTTGCACTGCCTCAATCAGCTTTCTGAAATACTCTTAAGTGACAATACCAGCAGGTGCAAACCATCTGCTAATGCAATCAAAAGGCAAAACATGTACGGTAATCCTGAAGTTACATTATAATGTGCTATCTAGAAATATGTGTAGTAAAAAAAATTATAATTGACCTGCACATTATCAGACTATTGTATCTAAACAAACACTGTATCCTCATGTTGCTGGGTGCCTCTATTGTACTATGATTTATAAAGGGCTGTAGATTTGCAACACAAACCCTAAACAATGTACAGTATCAAATCAATGATTTACAGAGGGAATATTACTTCACTGTCCCTTTTGATTAATATCTGACCACCATTTTAAATATATATATATATATATATATATATTGCATTCACTTGAGCTATGAGCAACACATTTATGAACTACCAAGTTTACTCCTGCTGGCATTATCACATTCATAGCAAACATTAGTTAAAATGGCGAGTGACAATGAAGCGATGAGAACAACAGATGATATAGTCATCACCTTCAGCACCTTCCATCACCAGCAGGAGTGAAAGGCATTAAAACCAATTCTTCAAACAAGTGATGTATGTGCTCTTTCTTGATACCAAATGCATCCATAATAATATTACCATCATAATTTTATATACTGTACACACAATAACCATCAGAGCCTAATTGAGCTTTAGAGGTTCATCATTAACACTTTCTCTAGAAGCTCATGTTCTTATACTGTATGTAAAGCAGAGTGCAAAACACTGAGTAACTAATTGACTGCAACAAGCTGATTTGGATAACTTGTACATCTCTCACTACTAATAAAAACAAGACAATACACTACCCCAGCCATGGTGATCCCTGGGAAGTGGTACTGGCAGCATATACAGTATATCATTTGGATTCATCACCATTGGCCATTCTAAAACCCAAAGTGAACAGTATGAAAACCGTGTCTTCCTCCATGGGCCCCTGTTGTGACACACCAAGCAAAACATACACCTCCACTCTGATGGTCATCCCAGCACTTTTCAAGTTCAAAAGAAAAAAGCAACAATTGGGTGATAAATGAAAAAAACTTTAATGCAGCAGTGAAAGAGGAAATATGGGTGCTTGGGTTGACCATTTGTGGTGGTAAATAAAAGGCCTCGCTGTATTCTCAAAACAAGATGGTGTTTCACAGTGTAACATTTGAGCCTTGAGATTTCAGATGTTTGGTGATTTTTTTGATAACTGGATGAGATGTTTTATATACACAGAGCTGCAAGATCATAACTTCAATCAATATAAATTCATGAATATTTAGCCATGACCATCTGTACACAAGTGTTGAATGCAACAATAGACTAGCTATATCTGCTGCATGGTCTGATGGTGAAGTGAAACTTAGTTGGCGGCTGCTTGGGTGTTGGAGAAGGAGAAGCGTCGGAGGTTAGGCGTATCATATTCTTCCATGCTCATTGTTCGCTGGCGACGAGGACGGGCCTCTTCGTCAGTTGATGAGCCACTGAAAGTTCGCTGGCGATCCACACCACTGAGAGGCAGTGAGGTCAACACACCAAGACCCTTACTGAACAACTGCAAAGACTGAGCAAACTTCTCAGGCTGTAAAGGGTAGGCAACTTATTATTACAGAAGTAGTAAATGTAATGTAGATGAATATGATAACATTAGACAATTCAAGAAGAAATATGATTTTTTGTTTTAACCAAACATAGACTAAACTTACACATTCAGCAAGGACATCCCCAACATCATCAATCTTGAGGAGTGAAGCCTTCTGCTTGTTGCAGCTCTGGTGCATAGTGTGGACTGTGTGGACATGAGAAGCCTTAGCTCCAGTCACCAGTAAAGTCTCTACACTCAACTTTGATTCGAGCTTACCAGAGAGATCAGACCGCCTGCAAAGTGAAAATTTAACATACTGTACTGTACTGTATTACTGTGCTTTAGTAGCTATACTGGTAATATAAATGAATGTAATATTGATGTGGTTACCCTACTAATCCATTTGTCAACATCGGTTCTAACAAATTCCTTTTGAACTATAATATACCAGTGTTCATTACATAAGATTAAACAAGTTGTTATTTCTACAGCCTTCCCAACCTCAATTCAACGAGCATTATCAAACATAATCAAATGTCTGCCACACTTATGATCTCAACTATGGGGGAGTGTATAAACACCTTACTAAAACAGTACCTCAAATACCTTTCATATTAACACTCTCAGATATCTTTAATATGATCACACCCTGTTGTCTCATTGTCATCTTTCTTTAGACTCTACATAAACGAATAAGTACTGAGCAGATAGACTCACTTGAGGAAAGCCTCCACATATTTGCGAAGATTCTTGGGGTTGATCTTGCTCTGGAGACGATCCTGATATTCCTTGATCAGGCGCTCCTTATTCTCTGCTGAGTCCAGTTGCTGTGGGAGGGATATTGATGTTATTACTAGTTGTTACATCAAATTGTACTCTTGATATTACTACTAGTATCATATTAATATATGATGTTTTTCATCAATGTTGTAAAACTTGTCTATGGTATGTTACTGACAATACAAAATATGTATTTTATATGCAGTTTGCACACATTATTATTTTATCATTTATGTGAATGATATTAATTTTTGTTAAATTATGTAAATTACTGTACTGAATATTGATTTGTTTGCTATAATTACAATGTTGACTGTTTACAGTTCTGTTGGGTAATTCATTGTTGTCATTGTTTTCATGTTACAGAATTTTTTTTTTTGCAGAATTTGATAAAGGCATTCCAAGAGTTTTAGTCATAAAGCATTAAACATTTAATTTTAGTTATAAGACGTATTGTTAATTTAAAGATTATATACCGGTACTTGTGAGTTAATGTCTTGTACAGTAATCCTAATACAGTACTATAATCATGACTTGGCTTAATGAAAGAATGAAGAGTGAGTTAGTGTCATGTAATTTTAACAACAGTGTTGGATTAATAATATAAAATAAAAAAGATGAGACATAACATAAACATACTGTGTATATATGGTGCATATGATATGGTCACCAGAGTCATAGTATCTTTTTGAGTTTGTGAGTAAATTTAGTGCACCAGAATGTGTACCAGAGTCATAAAATCCTCTTGAGTTTGTGAGTAAATTTAGTGCACCAGAATGTGTATAGTACCAGAGTCATAATATCTTTTTGAGTTTGTGAGTAAATTTAGTGCACCAGAGTCATAAAATCCTTTTGAGTTTGTGAGTAAATTTAGTGCACCAGAATGTGTATACCGTAGTACCAGAGTCATAATATCTTTTTGAGTTTGTGAGTAAATTAAGTGCACCAGAATGTGTACCAGTCATAAAATCCATTTTTGAGTTGGTAATTAAATTAAAGTGTTCAGCCTTGGTATTGGTGGACAAAATACTAGCTACTGGTACCATCAGAATAGCCGTCCTTGTGTATCTGCTGGCATGACAGTAACACAGTACAGTACTACAACGTTATGACAAGATGTGCTTTATCACCTACAGAGCAAATATGCATGAACGAAATAACACATGACATATACTGTACTGTACAATATCTATAAATAACAAAATAAGTAACTGAAAACAAATATAAAGCAGACATACACCTAGTTAATTATGACATGAAATCCTTATACTGTACATTATAAAACAAAAAAACAAAAACAATAGCAATTAATAAAATAATGCATGCAAGGTACTAACTATTGCATACTGTACTAATATGTCTAAATTGAGTGTTACCGACACATTTAGACCTGGAGATGGCAGTTTGGTTAAGACTTCATGTGCTATGTGTCATTGTTAAATTGTCATCCCAAATCCCAATGGTTAGTTGTAAAATGTCTGTCTATGATAATTCTTCAGTTCTCATATTCATTTATAAGTTTAAGGCTTATATTTCTGACTTAAAATCCTTGAAGGACTAAAAAGAACAAAAAACACAGCCATCTTTAATGGTGATAATTACATCTGTTGTGGTAAGTATCATAGACAAACTTGTATTGAGTGGTAGGTATAAGTACATATTAGACACCTCATAACACAACACTACACAGTACCTCAATCAAGCGCTGGAAGACGCCAAGTACAGTTGTGTACAGAGACACCACAAGTTTGGAATTAAAGAGAGAATATTTCGAAATTAGAGTTGGTGAGTATTCACACAACACTACACTAATAGAGGGAAGACATGAGCTGTAAGTCACAAACTTATTAGCACCAAAGAAATCTGGCACCACAGAAATTAATCCTGGCATGGCATAGATACTCACAGGTGTTGGTCTTGCCACATGAAAGCTATAATACAGTACTACACACATCATACTTTACATATCTGATGAATGAAGAAGTCTAATTCATGACATTTTGTGCTCTTTTGTTTTGTTTAAATTTACATCACTATCTACTCATGCATCAGGTATGTATAATATGAAGTGTTCATAAGCTACTGGGCTGAGCAAACTAGGATACATGAGTACTTCAGTAAAGGTCGTCACTGCACAACATTAATCGAGCCACTGAAATTATATGAGTTACACCAGTCAGCACACCAATGAAGCAAGATCCTCAGAATAACTGATTTGAGAATTTCAGAAGCACCTTGATATTTCCCTCTCATAAAATTATTACAGTATTTACAGAATGAAATGACATAAGTAATGAAGAGTTACATTCACATTAAACTGGACATTAGTGTTTAAGAACAGCAGTAAGGAACTCAGTACAAGTGTATAGTACAAGTGTATTTTCAATTTTTAAATGGTCTGTTATCTGTAGTAATGTCTTGCTGAAGACCTAACCATAAATGCTCTTCAGCTTTGAAAAGAGCATACTACAATACAAGTACAGTACTGTACTTTGTTAACACCTGGTTGAAGTGGAAATTTTTTTTGAGAAAGAACAAGACAGTAAAGTACCGGGTACAGTACTTCAAGATTCTTCCTCTCATGTTTAACACATCAAAGTGAATCCCCCAACAAGGCCTCTGAAGTTGCTTCCTAAAATAATTTCCGAGAATCAAACATGCAATAGCCTGTGAAATAAACATTTAATGTGAGTCACACCGATTATTCACAACATATACAGACTGAGAAAGACTGACAACTGCAGCAGCTGACGGAGTACCTGAGAGAGCATCTGGAACAGAAGTGAGACACGGCATCACCACACATCTTTAGACTAACACTTCCATACCATCAATAGAACACTCAACATTATATGGCACTGTACTGGGTAAGCACATCACTTTAACACTAATATTAAACATCTTACACTCAAAATATATCTGATTCTAACCAAACACTTAGTATGGAAGACAGACAAGTTGATGCTACAGTAATTATGGTAATCAATGCACAATCTGGCAAGCAATCTGTGTATGGGGACTAAATCTCCTTAAAAGTATTATGAACTTTTATTAATAATGCAGCTTCTGAAAGAGATGAAAGTATAAACATTTAGATAATGTGCTGCAACAACTAGACTCAAATAATCAAAGTGTATTTAAATATGACAACATAAACTTAGGAATCAAATCCACCTTAAAAGAAATAAACTTTTAATAGAACAACAGTGTGTTGGCACCAAGTGTGAGCTCTTTCAAGACCAGACTTGACCAATGCTGGCACAGGTACAGATACATTCTGGAGCCAGTGCATGCTCAGTATTTGCCAACAGTGTGTAACAGAGATGTGACCGACCACCCAAGCGGCTAACAAACCAATCAGTGGTAGAGAGAATAAAAGTAAAAAATATAAAAATTAAAACTGAAGGGAATACCAGTAGATATGAAAGCTATATATTATTGCTTTAATAGAAGTGCTGTCTCTTCCTTTTAATGTAAATTTGAATGAGAAAGTTTATATTTTGTTACTGTGAATCCAAACATAAATCTGCAAGTATTTTCTGTTCATACCTGTCATTTCAGCAGCTAAAGAAACATCAAATTTGTTTTTTACATGATATAATAAATTGAATAGAAAACCTATATTCCCTAATTATAAAATACAGTACTTGAAGTTAGTGTGTAATGAAAACATTTCACTGATTTGGTCACACAGCAAGGAAAAACACACAGTTAATGGTAATGCAATCCAAGTATGTATCAGTCATTTCCCTAATCTGAATATCACTGAAAAATTAATAAAAGATATTTAATGTTTAAGCTAAGTATGATAAGTTTACTTTATGATGATACAGTATACCCAAAATAATACCGGTACTCAGAGTCATTCTCTCACCAAATAAGATTAAATACAAATCAGATTCAAACACTTAGAGTTAACGTACGCGATACAATAAGTTCTTCAAGTCAAACTGCAGTTGGGCTTTGCACTACAGTACAGTACTGTACTTGAACTCGGACAGCAGCACTGTGAATTAGGCACTGTAAACCATATTTGCTGTCTTATCCCAAATACCAGTACTAAAAATAAATTCCTATTGCTGTTGTTATCCATGTAATTTTAAGTCAAAATAGTGGCACATACCTTCGACACACATGAACACACTGTTATAACACTCCTCTAACACTCACTTAACATGGTAATCTTTCATCACTATTTTACCACTCCCCAACATTTGATTTTTCCTTACAGTTCAACATACCATTCAAAATGCTCTTACACTTCTCATTTACATAATTAACATCAGCATTTTTATCCAGCTTAATTCCTGCAACACTAAAACTTTCCAACTTGTTCATACAGGAAATCTTTTGAGTGCATCCCACCTTTTAGCTACGATTTAAACAGATTTGCTATAATGTAGTTAGAGAAAAATAGTAATGGTTTATGATTTTAAAAGCCCTAATTCTGGCATTAGCAGTTCAGATGTATGTAATTAAATAAAAGAGTGAAAGAGAGCGAGAGAGAGAGAAAGAGTGAGAGGTTAAAGAAAGTTGCTAACTGTTGAAATTAACTTCTAACCAAAATGTAAAGTCAACGGGCCTACAGAAAGAGAGTCATGGAAATGTGAAAGTAATTTAAGAACTTTGCCAACCTTGTCTCATTCTACAGAGGGATCCAATGGGTATCTTTTCATCATAAAATTCTCAAACTAAATAAAAAATGGAGACAACACATTACAGTTGTTTTTCTCCATAATACCAATATGTAAATGGTTCAATTATGGTAATAAGTAAATGCGAACACACAAATATACAGCCCATTTATCTATTTCTCCTTCCCAAGTTCTTTCCCGGTTGTTGACAAATATTATTCTTGAAAATATCTTTTTTTCTAAGATAAAATGTTAAGACCAATAGATATCTGATTTATGTATTTTCTCTACAAATTAAGGAAAAAACCCTAGGTGTTAGATATATTACCTGGTAACAGACAGAAAAGGTACAATACTGTACAGCGCTTAAGAGACATTTCGGAGCAATTTTTTACACACACACACGCACACAAAAAAAAATCAGTACATGTTTTGTATTATGATCACTCATTTTACTATACTGTATTACAGTACAGTACTGTACTGTAATTTTGAAATGGTGAAAATTATACAATAAAAGTTTCAAAATACAACTCCCGTATCAAATCCAGCATGATCCTGGTTACTACAGTTTTACTCATAACAAAGTCTTTTCTACCTCGTCTTGGCTATTTCTGGCCAATCAAGACAAGTTAACATTGTCTGAGAAGATACCTATGATTACTATTATTCTCCTGGATATTTATTACAGATTATTATCCTGATCACCACCAATAACATTATTTGCCCTTTAGATACCATCTACTGTATGTCAATATGGAGGGCTCCTCCACCATCAGATGACATAATAGTTACAGAATACAAGTTTTCTCCTGTGGATAATATTATTTTACCTAATGGTATTTTATCAATATTCATAAAAATATACCACTTACTAAGAGGCAATTGGTAAAGGGTAAAATTTCATAAATAATAAAAAAAGAAATGCATTTGTATCCAAAACAAAATTGACTTGCATTTTTACCTTGTGTTTGCCTGCGTAAAACATGAAAGCAATGCAACAAAAATTGTTGCTTTAAATGTTACAAAGAAACAGTGGTCACCTTTGGCCCAACCTCCGGTAGATATCAGAAATTCACATAAGAATGTAAGAATAAACCACTTCCGAGGACATATCTTACTTTAGTAATAGATTCTGTGAAGTAAAGTTGTTGGAATAAAATACTCTAGGTTTTCACATAACAATACAGTATAAATTTTATGAAACTAATTGTGGCAGTACTGTACTTGAAGGGCAACAACCTACTATTAAATTACAGTTAAGACTTTCAATAATTTAAACATGTAAATAAAACCGTAGATTTATTTAAAACTTACGTGTCCAAATTTATGGAAGATGAGGTACTGCTCAGCGGTGGGGTGCATGCCCACGTTGTTTAGCTTCCATGAGATGATCTGTAACAAGTTGATTGATGAAAACACAAGTATTATTGGGATACAGCAGAATGCATACAACACCAGAAGTCTACATTACAATGTCTAAATTAAAAGAATAGATAGTCTTAAGGAAGACATTGCTTAAGTGTAGCATTTTCTAAGTTTTGCTCACAGAAAATACTTACTGTATATAGTACAGTAAACCATCTGCCTTCAGAAAGTACTACACAGGTACTGTATTCAAGTCAAGAAACTATGTACAGTAAGATGGCCCTGGAAGCAAGACATTTCAGCCTAAGTATTGCATACCGGTAACTCTAGTTTTAGCTTTTTAAAACGCTTCACTGCTTTAAAGTTGGTTATACTTTATCTTGATTATGAAGACACTTAACAAAGAAAAGAAGAAAAAAATCTTGTCTCATATCCCATTAAAAAACAAAATTAAGTAAAAATATAACATGGATTTTTTTCATTAGTGCAATGAGAAATTAATTTGTTCATCCCACAGTAGTTAATGTAATCTTGAACAATCTAAATTTGCCTCCTCCTATTACAGGTTCAGACAACTTCATGTTATTTAGATTCTGCTTCCCAGAGTGTTAAGAGAGTTGTGCAATGAGCTTGTTGAGCCCCGTAAGATCCTGCTCTGTAAATGCCTGGATGAGCAAAAGGTCCCCAGTTATTGGGAAATGGCTATGTTAGTCCTATATCCAAGAAGGGCAATTGTCACTCCACAGATAATTGTAGACTGGCGAGCCTGACCAGCATAATGTGTAAAGTACTAGAGAGCATTATAAGAGAGGCCATGATGGAACATCTACTGTACTATGAAACAACCTTGTAATTGGGGTGGGTCAAGGAATATTATAAGGGGGGTCCAAGCAGTTACGGGTGGGAGAACATGGCGAGCACAGTGAGCTCATGCAGCTTGGGGTTTGGGGAAGCACTGTAAGTACCCCCTTTTTTTTTTTTAATTTAATCTATTTCATGGGCATTTTGATGCCATTTTGAGACTGTGTGCACTTGATATTAGGAGATATTTTAAGGTCAATAGTAATTACATTTTACAATACAAAAATGTCTGAGTGCAATATTGCATTGAAGAAAAGTATTAGAATTTTTTGATGAAAAGGGAGGGGGGACCGGATCCCCAGGAACCCCCAGCACAAGGGATTGCCAGCATGGTGTTTTGCCGGGATGCTCCTCCTTGACACAATTACTCAAAATACTGGATGTTTGGACTCAAATTCTGGAACAGGATGGTAATATCGACAATTTATACTTAGATTTTGCCAAGGCTTTTGAACCGTACCCCATGAGAGGTTCAGAATTAAACTGGAAGGGTATAGGATTCGAGAAAGTGTCCTTGCATGAATCAGACTTTCTGCATGATCGCAAGCAATGAGTGGTGATGAATGGTACGAAATCGTCATGTGTACCTGTGACAAGTGGAGTGCCACAGGGCAGTGTAGTAGGGTCGGGATATATAGCGACATTATATAACGATTTTTTTATATCACGGCTATCAAAATTATCGACATTTTCCTATATATATAGCTGCTAAGATTCAATGTCATGAAGTGTAAGACGATGCACCTGGGTCATACTAATGGTACGGAGGTGTAAAACATGTCCCAACGGGATGAAAAACTGCATTAATAGAGATGCAATGTGAAAAGTATCTGGGTATGTATGTTGACAATGAATTGAAATTCTTGGACCATTGTGAGAAGAAGATAAATCAAGCAACTAAACTATTAGGTCTTGTCAGGTCGTTCAGATATCTAGACGGGTCGTCCCTCGTAACGATCTTCAAGAGTGAGGTGCTTCCCCCATCTGGAGTACGGTTACCCCGCCTGGTTCCCGAGATATGCTAGGGACTGTCAGTTGATTGAAAATCTCCAAAGGAGGGCCACCAGACTAGTGCCTGAACTATGGCACCTCAGTTATCCAGAAAGATTAGAGCGCCTGCAACTGCCTAGCTTATACTACAGATTGGCAAGGGAGTGATATAATTGAGGTGTATAATCATATCAGAGGGCACTACTCAGTCGAGTGTCCATACCTGGAGCTGACGGATGCCCACCTCACAAAGGGTTACAACTCAAGGTTGAAGAAGCCACAAGTCCAGAAAACTGTGAGAGCAAACTTCTTCACAGTGAAAATTGTGAACTCTTGGAACAATCTGCCAGAGAATGTTGTGAGGGCACCGAGTGTGAGCTCTTTCAAGACTTTAGGATTAATCCTATGGTATCCATGGTGTCCCAGTTGCCATCAGGTAAATTTGGAGAAAGCTTTGCAGTTGGATGTCTTACCTATTGCCGACTAACTTTTACAGTGTGGGAACTGAGCATTACATGTAGGATTTCCAATTGCCCTCTTAGCTGCCACAGTTATCTTTGTCTTTCTTAAAAGTAACTCTTTTTGCATCATTATTTTCTAATATACAGTACTGTACTTAAATATTATGAACTTTAGTATTACCTTGTCCTTAAAATGCTCCATAACACCAGCAGTAGTGGAAGTGCAGTGGATGAGCACAAGACCCATACAGCGGTCTGGATAGGCCATGCCAAAGCGAGCCAAAATGTTGGCCCCGGCGCCCTCACCTAGACCGATGACCAACTTCACTTTGAGGTGGTCCACCACGGCAATCAAATCCTCGGCAATCATCTGCATGGTCGGGAACACAAAGCTGAAAAAGACATGCAGTCTTAGGGTAACGGTAATTAGATAAGTGAGAGCATTGTACTTGAAACAAATGTTGACCCCCACAATGAAAAAGATAATTTTTACATTAATTTTTCCAAAATTTATAAGGGGATAATTCCCACATGGGGAGTTCATTAAGTTCTGAACCCTAAGGCAATGGTTTGAAATTAATGAACCAATGAGAAAAAAATTATACCTGTACTGTATATCTGTTATTTGTAAAGTAATAGAAAATGTCCACTGACACACATAGACAATATGATTGCTTTATAACTCACTCCTGTCAGGGGGATAAAAATAAGTAAATTTGTAAAATATTAAGACAGTCAAGAGGTCTGAGAGGCCACAACAGTAACAGCTGTGTATGAAAGAATTTAATTATTCTCTTTAACTGTTGATCATTTAACCATAGGGAGAGATTTTCTGGCGAAAGTAAAGAATACTGTAAAAATTTTTGGTACAGTGACAGAGCTTAACTGACCATTCAACATTTACCAAATTATGTTGAGGCATGAAATACTGGAGGAGATTAAAGAATTATAATATCTGTTAATAAAACAACGAATACATGGTACAGTACAGCAGTGAGTGAAATATGGGAAAATTGATGAGAGGAGACTACTTAGGGAGTCAGAAAGTACAGGTATCATTAAAGGAAATGGAAATGAATAAAGGAAATGTGGGATAGTATAATACCTGTACAGCTTGTACTTAAGTGAACATACAGAAGTGAAACATGGACTTGAAGCAGAATGATCAAAAATTCAAGCTACTGAAATGAGTTAGCTTACCTGAAAGCTCTATCTCAGGTGAATAGAATAGATGGGGGCATGAAAGAGGGAAGTTCAAGGGAAAAGATTTGGAAAGGCTGAGAGAATTTGAATAGCAGTGGCGGGAAGTGTAAATAGAAGTCGTCTATGGTGTTATGAACGTGTGAGGAGATCACCAGAGAACAGGAGGGTGAAGGGGGAGTCCAGAGGCAGTGAGGCAGGTTTGTTGGATAGAGGGTGACTCCCCACACTGAAGGAATGTAAGGAGGAACAGCACATAATGAAGAGAATGAAGAAGGGATAAGGTGAATAAAAAGGGTTTTATTGATAAGTAGTGATAGAGTGGTCTGGAAGCTACTATGTTGAGGTCTCCCTCTAGAGCAGTCAGGTACCCAACATGAAATAGGAAGGTTAAACACATTTCATGAACCTACTTCTATCAAATATCATTCAGTAGCTTTCAAGTTAATTAGTCCAAAAATAATTTTCATAAGCACCTAATTGTAATACATTACCTATATTAGGTGACGAGGATTCATTCATAATAACTTGCCTCTCAAACTGCCATTAATGACTGAGCCTCAAACACGAGGCAGGTAGTAATTCAGAGACATATGTACGAGTCATGATAAATATACAGTATAAGTGACCAGATCTAGTTCATGGAATACAAATGAGTAAATTTGCATTTTCAACCAATAAGGCTCTCGAGTTGAGCAATATATTTTCCGATGGTTTACACAGTTGTAAGACACTTCTTTTATGACGTTTCCCTCGCAAATGACCTAAAATTACCTACCCTAACCTCCTAATCGGGGGCTCTACCCCCTGGATATTAAATTCATTTGCGAGGGAAACGTCACAGATGAAGTGTCTTACAACTGTGTAAACCATCGGAAAATATATTGCTCAACTCGAGAGCCTTATTGATTGAAAATGCAAATTTACCTACAAATGTTAACGGGTAAATGGGGGCAAGAGTATATACAGGGTATTTGAAGTGTTGGTGGATGTTAAAAAAAACAAACAAACATTAAGGCTGCTTCTTTCACTAATTCTGGTCCAAAAGTGTTACTGTTGCTTGTGACGCCTTCATTAGATCGTCACACCATTCAGAGTTATTACACAGTATAAATTCCCCTTAGTGTATTGTCAGATCACAGCACAAGTGCAACTAAGGTAACCTTTAATGCTGAGTCAGGTCACCTTTAGCTTTTCAATTACTGTACAGTATCTGTACATGTGAGAGGACTGGAGAAAAGTAAAATACATGGAGAGAGAAAGAGAGAGTTAACATGATCACAAACTAAATTTGACATTCATTTCTCAACCTTAACTCACTTGTTCCAGGTCTTCTTCCCGATTTACTTATCTTTCTTCTCTCCATCACCATTTACTCGGATTTCTACCCCGTCCTCCCTTCCACCTCACGCCGCCCTCATACACCTCTTGTCTACAAATAAATCCGCTAGACCATTAAATACCCTTTCCTCTCATATCCTTTTCACGAAAATCCTATGATACCAAAGCTTATTTTACCTCTCGGGTTTATTGAAAGCTATTTCAACCAATGACGCACGAGGGATGAAATAAGTTTTTCCCGCTTGATTTATCAGTATGAGGTTATTATTTTAACCCGATTTAGCGCTCTTGGAGTATTCAAGTGTATACAGACAGAAACAGGAGTTCAAATTGATATTCTAAAATTGACCTGTTGTAAAAAAGAAAATTACATACAAGAGATCCATGGTGGATAACCCTCGCAGTTGAAGCACCTTAAACTAAAACTTAGTGAACGGGACTTAATAATCTTGGCAGGTAAAGCCAATAAAACACACACAAAAAAGACCAAAACAGAAGTTGTTATGGCTACAAGTCCTTCTTATTACATTAGAGCCTCCAAGGTGAATTCTCCCCCTTCGACTTCGCCTACCACTACCAGCGAGGCGCCCCCCCCCCCCACCATCAATATGATAACCTTTATATCTCAGATTATATCTATTTTCGTATATCCCTCACCAAGCCCAGTGACCATCCTCTCTGGCGCAGCCCTCACTTTCCAGACTTTATAAATGAATTACTTGAACACTTCCTGGACCAGTTTCCCTCCATCCCTCACCTTCCAGGACCAATCTCCCTCCCTCCTTACCTTCAGCCCCCTCCAGAACCAACCTCCCCCTTTCTCTCCCCCTCCAGGACCAGCCTCCCTCCTTCCCTCCCCCTCCAGGAACAGCCTCCTTCCTCCCCCAGGACCAGCCTCCTTCCCTCCCCTCCAGGAACAGCCTCCCTCCTTCCCTCCAGATTGCCTCCATCCTTCCCTCCCCCTCTATGACCAGCCTCCTACTTGCCCTCCCTCACTCTCCAAGACCATCCCTCTCAAGGTTGGCTCTTCATTTTGAATCTCCTTGAAAGGTCGACGTTCCTCTTCGCTTCCCTTAACCTCTACTTGGCTCAGCTTACACCTGGCTCCCCACCTTTGGCTTCATTTTTCTTCAGTGGGGCGAGGAGGAGGAGGCGGCGGAGGGCATCAACACGTCCTTCATATCCTTCCCTTGACCCCAGGCAGTCACAGGAGAAAAAGCAGCCTGGCCACCCATATGAGACACATCCCTCGTCACACGTCTCCATATTTCCATAAAAAAGCGAGAGGACTATAGACCTCATCCATAGGGGTGCAAAATGGGCCTCCTTCTCCTACTCCTTCACGCATAAAAGAGCAGGATGGCCACAATCCCCTCACCTTTCTGCCAGGGCGGGCCAGCCACATCCCTCACCTCCCCAACAATACACAGGGACCACATTCATCACACCCCCAACACCACACATTTTTTTTTTACGGGGATAAGCCCACCCGGGCACAGGTCACTGTCACTGATCCACATCGGTACCCGGGGGGCGAAAATGTAATAATAACAATGATGATGATGATGATGATAATAATAATAATAATAATAATAATAATAATAATAATAATAATAAAGAACCATAAAGAAATGCAAAAAATAAAAATAAATAAAAAGTGAGAAACAATATATGTATGTTGTGTAGTCAATAGTAAGAGAAACAATTGAGACCCTGCAATTGTGTGTACATGAGGCAGAAAGTCAGATCAACAACCTGGGACTTGGTCACAATTTTCGTGATGCCATATGGCAACAGGGTCTACCATTAGACAACACATTATGCTTCCAATATCTTCCCAGGCGGTAGTACCTCCCTGTTTGGTAGCTGCTTACTACCTACTACACATGGGCGGGCCGACCACATCCCTCACTCCCAACATCATACAGGGACGGGCCGACCACATCCCTCACCCCCAACATCACACAGGAGCGGGCGGGGTCCGACAAAAGGATCCGACGCCTTTAAGCTGGTAACGACGAGCAGGGAGGGTAGGTGGTCCGGCTTGGCCCCTCCCAACCTTCCTTCCCGCTCTCCTCTCTCGCCTGGCCAATCGATGCCAACTCTGCCCATATTAAGAAAATGTACTTCTCAGGTGTCATCCTAAAGGAACATATTTTAAAGACTGGTTAGATCATTATTTCTGCAGGGCGTGAGGATGTCTCTTACTGTGGGTGGCTGGTATACTGTTTGTGTGTTGGGTTGCCGCAGTGTTTCAAGAGGGAGGGGCATATCTTTGAAAGAGTGAGTGACAGAGTGAGAGCATGTTTGAAAAGTCGATGCAAGATTTAAAAGTGGGAAACATTCCTCTGGAGCTAGAGGAGGTCGTACGTGTATGAAGATTATTTTTTGAGCGCTGGATCGTATCTTGCAGTAGGTGGATTTGATATGTGTTGGTTTAGTGCATCACGTCCCAGGCAGATGGAGCCTTTCTCGGTGACCAGAACTCACGAACACTACAGAATAATGGTGATGACAAAGTAACAAAGAACTGACCAATCGCCCGAACAGCTATCAAGCTTTAAATATTTAAAATTATAAAGGCATTAAATAAATATATATCTTAAGCGTAACTTTTAAGAGAATGGATACTACATCAGCCACCGCGAGGAGTATTCTACTACACAAACTGGATTCTCACATCTCCGCAAGTTGGTTGCAGGCCTCCCCTAATATATTCATAATCATCAAAACCGGGGCCATTAAGATTGGGCCCCGGTCCAAATGGATAAGTTATGTTATCTCGGGGCCAAGTAGGGATGGGTTATTAGGGCCACACATTTGACTAGTTACAGTTAAAAGTTACCCCTCC